CACTTATACTATACTGTAGGTGTTCTTTCTCAATTAGAGGTCTTTGAAAGAAGAGGATGTACAAATAGATGCTCCACAGATAATGTAAGTATAAATAAACTAACTTTTCAGATCATTTTCTATTGAAAGTCCAGAGAATGCTAATTCCTAAAGTCCTACCCTAAGAATTCTGCCCCCATTTGCCTGGCCTGACAGCTGAAAAATTAGAATACAAATATTTAGAGAGAAGAAAATGTGACAAAATGTTAACAATACAGAATCTGGATAAAGAATTTTCCAATGTTAATTGACTTATTCTTATCATTTTTTTGTAGATTTGAAATCTTTCCAAAAAAACAAAATAGAGTTAAAGCTTTTTAAAAAAATCACTGTATTCAGATTTGGTGGCTACAGCTCCTCACCATGACCCTTCCCACAATTATTTATTACATTTTAGTTAATTCCCTCAACTGGGATAATTTGAATAGGACCCGATATTATGAAATTTTGTTAACATTTGTTCTTAGGTGTGAGAACAGTACTATGATTACTTAAGAAATCCTTATTTTTTAAAATATATTCTTAAGTAGTATCATTATGTTTACAACTTATTTACAAATGGCTCTAAAAAACCCCTACATGTGTGTCTATATGGGTGTATATTAGCTCTTATATATGTGTATAATATACATATATACATAAAAGAGCTTGGGTGGCGTGAGTTGTTTGCAATTGGCTGCTAACCTCAAGGTTGGCAGTTTGAATCCACCCAGCTGTTCCATGGAAGCAAAGGCCTAGCAATCTAATTCCATAAAGGCTGTTGTGTGTTGTTGAGTCTAGGCTGTCTTTTTTTAACAAAAAATACATTTTACTGAAATACAATTTATGTACAGTGAAATACACAAAACTAAAGTGACATGGGTCGATGCATTTTTTTTTTTTTTTTTTTTCAGTATTCCCTCTCTTCCCCTCCCACCCCTGGTAACCAACATAGGCTGTAATTCTTCACAGCAGCAGACTGTCAGGTCTTTTTTCCTATGAAGCCATTGGTGCTTTTGAATGCCAACCTTTTGGTTAGCAACTGAGCACTTAACCACTGCACTACCAGGGCTCTTTCCATTAAGATTATAATCAAGGAAACCCTATGGGAACAGTTCTACTCTGTCACACATGGGGTCACCATGAGTCAGGGGGCTGACTCAATACCAGCTAACAACAACAACATATAAATAATAGAAATCTGAAGCAAATTTGGCAAAACGTTAACTATTTTTGACTCCATATGTAGAGTACATGGATATTTAGTATAGTATTCTTACAGGTTTTCCATATAGTGCTTGAAATCATAATTTTATTTTTTAAAATTATTTAATGATTATTTATTAAGTTAGTGGCAGTGACTATGGGGGGAGTTAGCTGGGGAAAAGGAGAAGGAAGAAGTGTTCCAAGCAGAGGAAACAGCATGTATGAAGGCCCAGAGACAAGAACAGGTCTAACAAATCAAGGATAAGTGATTCTGCCTGACTTCTGAGGTGCTTCTTAACATAGCTCTAACATAGTTTTTCTTCCTACCACTTGTTATGCTCTAGCTCTGTTGCCTTTCTCACTGCTTTACCTAACAGAGATTCCCAGACTCCACGCCTTGTTTACGCTTACATTCCTCAACTGGAATGCTCTCTGGCTACTCTTGCTTAAAGAACTCCTAATCATTCACAATTCCTATCTCAAATCGGCCTCCACTATAAAGCCTGTCTTGATTCTCCTCAATCAGATGTAACTTCTGTTCTCTGAATTCCTTACTCATTCACTACCTTTGAGTTGATTTGACTCCTAATAACCCCTCCTTGGGTTTCTGAGGCAATATCTCTACAGAATTAGATTGCCCAATCTTCCTTTTGAGGAGTGGCTGGTGGGTTTGAAACGCCAGCCTTCTGATTAGCAGTCAAGTGCCTTAGGCACTCTGCCACCTGCACCTGTATATCTCTGAAGTCACTTATTCTACTGTTTTAAACTAGATTGTGAGCTTTTGGTAGGCAAGACTACCTTACTCATCTCTTAATTCTCTCCCAATACCCTAGACAAAGGAGTTTTTCTGCAAATATTGGTTGTATTGAACTCTCTGGGACACAAGATGAGTAAAAGTCAACAGAGTTCCCGTTACAAAGGAGCGGTAAACAATGCCCTTTCTCAGGGGAGATCTTAGAGGCTTGCCACAGAGAAATCATAAACAGATGGTGAAAGTATTAGTCTGAAATTCAAAGATGTATCACACTGCAAAAACACAATAAAGCCAGCTTGAATTAAGTCTCCTGTTGGTTCTGAGTGGGAATGGAAAATAGAACAAGGAGAAGAGTGCTGCTTCCCCATTGTATTTAACAGTATCAAGTTCCCTTGCAGCATTTCAAATGAGGTGGCCTCAGCAAATGTGTTTCCACTCCTATCTTCACTCCTGAGAGAGGATCAGAAGGAAGTGGGGAGGCACAGATGTTAGAATGGCTTATCAGGTAGGTTGTCAAGGGAGCAGCCTAAGGCTGGGATTCAAAGGCAGGCTACCTGGGTTACAATTATAGTTCTGCCACTTACTATTCTCTTTTGAGACTTGTTTTCACATTTCTAAAACTAGGATACTATTAAGTTCCTTCATGGGTTATAAAGAAAAAGAAAGACACATTACTAGAATGTTCACTCCATAAAAGAAGGGGTCATGTCTTTTTTGTTGCATTTTGGTGCCTGGTTTATAGTATGCATTTGATTATTTGACACATTAGCTATTACAGTTACTACTCACAAGATTAAATCCAAATGCTTACAGAAAATCACAGTTTCCCATAAAATCAAATACCTTTTTTTTAAATTTCTCCCTCTTTATCTTGTTCCCAATAACTTCCTAACACCTGAGGACTATGGTTTCAAACTGGCTGAGTTGAGCTCCCTCCCCAGATGCCAGGCCATTCCTACATTACCACTATCTCTAGGATGCCAGCTATACCACTTCCAATTCAATGTCTGCTTTTCCCTGGATCTGAGCCTGAGCTCAGAATAGCCTCTTGATTTCTGCATCAGCCTGGGGTCTCCCAAGGGAAGATATGAGCCTGCTTCGCTCTGTCTCTTCAGGCCAAGAAGAAGAGGGTGCTATCTTGGTAGCTGGTTCTTCCTTTGGGAAGTATTTGACTCTGAGGCTCAAGCAGCCCTTCTCACTTTAGCATCAGACCAGGTTCCTACTTCTGAGTTTCTAAGTAACCAAACAAACATCAACCATCTCATTTTACAGATACAGGGCTTGAGAATTTTCCCCAGAGCAGGGAAATGATTTACATAAGACTTCTGAGTCAGTGCTCAGAAAAGGAGAGAAAGCCCAAAGCAAAGGCATGGTGTTGATGATAGGCTGGATGAAGATAAGAGGTCCGGTAAAATCTGTGTGTCTTTCAAAAATTACTATTATCCATAAGGGATGTTGCTGTTACCCCAGCCCACAGTGTAACCGCCTTCTCTAATTTCACCCTTCCCTCACCCCTCCAAGCTAAGGCTTCCCATTGGCATTGCTTATAGAGCATTCAGCTTTGTAAATTAACACCTTTGAAAGAGGTCAAGGTGAAATTAAGGGAAGGTGACATAACAAAGAATGATCACACAAGATCATTCTCTTTTTCTTCCTTTCTCTCACATGACCCCAGCTTCCTCAGATAAATAGGCAAAGTATACAGAGTCCCTTTTCCTTCCACTGAAAGCTTCCTAAAGACAGGACTATAGCTACACTTCCTCAGTTCTCTGTTGACAGTCCAATTTGGGAGTGCTGGTCCTTCTAAAGGAGCTCTGGTGGCGTAGTGCCTAAGAGATTTGACTGCTAACCAGAAGGCTAGTGGTTCAAACCCACCAGCCACTCCTTGTTAGGAAGATTGGGCAATCTACTTCTGTAGTGATACCACCTTGGAAACCCAAGGAGGGGTCAACTATGAGTCGGATCCGACTCAACCGCAGTCTCCGTCCTCTCTGGTCCTTCCAAGGACCCAAACCATGGCTCCACCTTTAGAAGATGTGACAGGAATATCTCAATTCTTAAGCATGTGCTATTCATTCAAATGCTTCCAAAGTAAGACCATAAACCTAAAGAAAACCAAATATTCTGTCTCAGGTCTTTCTTGTCCCTCCCTCCTTTTTCTTCTGACTTGTGTGTTCCTATTCCATCTCCTCTAGTTCAGTGTTGATAGGTAGAAAGCAGAGGATCTAAGAACAAACAAAGAAAATACTCAGGACAGGCAGAAAGAAGAATGCTTTAACATTAAAATGTTTCAAGAAGTGTCCATACAATCTACATAAACAGGCAAGTTACAGGCCACAGCCTACCTAAATGCTAGTGCTGGAGTAAAACCACCCAGGGCAAGCCAAGGACACAATCTAAAAAGAGATTCTCCTTTATCATTGTGAACTCTCCAAGGCCACAGGGACCAAACAGGAAGCAGATACGGAGTACTGGTTACATCAGCTTAAACAACACCCATAGGCCAGGCAGGGTTAGGTACAAAGAAATTTATACAGAATCATTCTAGTCCTCAAAGGGCTCCCAATCTAAGTTAACTGGCATTACTCACCATCCAGACATCACAGGTAATCACTGGTGTTTTACAACTTTGGGAAAATTGCACTCTTTGACCTTTGAATTTCATCATCTATAAAATACCAACCTCGTTGAACTGCTAACCTGCTACATAAATCCTCCGAGTTAGTTCCTTTGTTCCAACTTTTCTTGGTCAGAGGACTCAAATCCAGCCTAATGATTATTTAAGGTTCCTGAGAGGAGACAGCTTCCCCATCCTCGCTCCAGATTGGGTGGTTTTCTTCCGTTTTCTTTCAAATCTGTCCATTCGGATGGAAACCCATTCCTTATTCCAGTTTCCCAGAGAAGTAGGAGACGCTCCTCTGTAGGCCAGGGCTCCTAGGGCCCCGTAAGCGCCCTCCCTGTACGCTTCTCCCGCCGTACTGGCCTCGGCAGAGGCAAGCAGGAGGGAAGCCTGATCACCTACCTTCTCCTGGGCCCTGCTGAACTTCTTCTGCATCTGCTTGGCGAAGAGGCCAGCAGCGCCGCCGGCCTTGCCCTCGGCCATCCTTCTGGCTCCCCAGGGGCGACCTGCCTTGGCCCTGCGCCCTGTGGTTTTCTAGAGGCCCCTGAAGAGGAAGTGCGGGCTCCCGGCATGCCTCGCATCCGGCGGGAGGGCCTCGCACTTCCCGCCCGGCTGCCCCTGCGGGCCTGAGCGCGCCCCTGAGACGCCTGGAGAACACTCTTGAGGATCACTCCGAGGCCCGGTGCAGCAAGCGGGGCCCACACTGCGGCCACTCTGAGATCTGTCACAAGATCCATTTCTAGGCTCACTCCGAGTCCAGCGCAGCGGCGTGCCTTGCGTCCCTCCCATAGCTAACTGCCCGTGGCCCATCCATGCTTCAGCGTGAAGGGCTGGGCGTTTCCGAGGCCCAAAGCAGCAGGTCGACTGAGGGACATCCTGAGCTCTGTCTAGGGCGCTGGCTATGTTCAGAGGAGGCCTGGTCAGAGGGGGCGGAGCCTTAGGTCTGCCCTCAGGAGGTTCTCACCCAAGCCTTACTTTTGTGGTGGCTCTGCCCTGAAGTACAGCAACACCGACTCTATTGAACCGGGTTCACAAATGTGGGCCAAGACCCATTGTTTAGGGAAAGCAACTTAGCTATGGCAATTGCACTGGAAAAATAACTGAAATAATAGGATAGAAAATACTGTGATTTCCGTCCAGTAAGGGTTTTTATTGTATTGGGAAACATGTTTCAGTTATATGGGCATGCATGCTGGGTTGCCAAGGAAAATGTATTTCTTCAGGTTGCAGTTTATGGTAAGCCACTGACAGCGAGTTTGGCTCTAAGCTTGGAACTGATAGAGGGATGCGACTTCAGATCTGGATTTGAATGGGAAGAACAACTGAGCTGGAGAGAGAAAAGGGGATTCTGAGGAAGGGAGAGGATCTCGATGATAAAAGATTGCAGAGATGGGGAGCAAGTTTTTCTAGATGGATGGAGTGCGCATAACCAGATGGCGTCAGGATGTGATGCTAGACACAAATTGTGCAAGTCGTGAGGGTGATACTGAGATTACAGCTATTGCTTCTCTAGGGAGAAGGTCTCCAAAGGTAGGTTACTACTCCCTGGCCTGCCTGAGGGACTAGCTTAAATCTCAGACACTAGGTTTGGAGAAACCATTTACTTAAGGAATTTTCATTGGAGATAAAATTCCCTCAAGGGAAGGAACAGGGTCAAAATACAGTTCCTAAGGAGTGCAGAGAAAATCTGGAGGCCTGAGACAAAATTGGAGGCTCTTTTCTGCTATTATTTTCCAGTTCATTCTTCCAACCAAACATTGCAGTCAGGGGCAACTGTGTACCAGGCATTGCTGGATATTGGAAAGCCAAAAATGAATACTGTACTCCTTAATTTGTAGATGTTAAGTCTGGCAGTGGAGATAGAGTATAAGCAGATGATTATAATATAATGTGCCAAATTTGTTGCTGTTAACTACCATTAAATAAGTCAGCCACAACTTAATGGCAACTCCATGCACAACAAAACAAAAAGGCTGCCTGGTTCTGTGCCATCCTCATTATAGGTTGTGGATTGGATGGTTGTGATCCACAGAGTTTTCATTGCTTGATTTTCAGAAGTGGATTGCTAAATCTTTCTTCCTAGTTTGTCTAAGTCTGGAAGCTCCTCTGGAAACTTCAGCATTATAGCAGCACACAAACTTCTACTGACGAATGAGTGGTGCCTGTGCTTAAGCTACATTGGCTGAGAATTCAACCCTGGTCCCATATGGTTGGCAAGAATTCTAAGATTGAACCATCCCTACCTCCAAATAAACATGTATAGAAATAACAGAATTTTTAGGCAATAGGTTGATGGTGAGGATAGCCTGGAAGGGGCAGAGTGAAGAAAATTGAAGGACTTTATGTTGGATAGGGAGGATTAGGGCGTGTCTTCCCAAAAGGTGATAGTACTGTGGGAACACTGACAGAAGATAGTGATGACAGGTGTATCACTAGCAGGAGGATGTATCACTCCTAGGATACCACAACACCATTAGTAACACAGCCCAATAATTGTCTCCTGTGAAACCCCCTTCAGGGTCAATCTCTTGGGAACAACTGAAATTGATGGTCACCAAATCATGGAATATTGGAGCAGGAACAGCCCTTAGAAGTTAATTAGATGAAGAAACTGAGTCACATAAAACGTAGGTGATTTGCCCAAAGTTACCCAGCTTCTTGGTGGTGGAACTGGGAGGAGAACATAGGTCTCCTGACTTTAGCTGAGGTTCTTATAAACACTGTTTCCTTCTAACGGTCTCTGATGACATAGCAGCTTTCCAATTCCAGGTCTGGTCTCAGCCAGGTTCTCCTGCTGTTATTTAGCTACCCTAGTCTCTCTTGTCTGGTCTTCAGAGGCTGCTAGGAAAAGTTGCAACTCATCCTCTTAACTTCCTTTCAGTTCCCCCTTTGTTTGCTCTCTGACTGTTCTACCAGACTGAGCCCTGGCCATTATCAGTTTCCTAGTTCTCAGCAGTTTATAGAACTCTGGATCCGGTTGTCTATTTTAGTTCAAGCCTTAAAGTGCTGACTCACACTTAGCTTAAAGCCCCATTTTGTTATCACCTCTCCTTTTCTGTTCTGCCTTTTCCCCTCAGCCTTTTCCTTTCTTTATTTAGTATCTTATTTTCTCTTTTTTCCCCTATTCTTTCCTCCCTAATCTCCTTTATAATTCATTACTTTTTTTGTCTGCTGGCATCTGACCTACTGTCTAATCCTCTATTCCTACCTCTAGTGATCCCAGTAGTTGCTACCACTCAGGAGTTGGAGTGAGCACTTGTTCTAGATACGGAAGAGGAAGTCAAAGAACAAGACTACAGTCTGTCTGGGAAAGTCAGGGCAAATTTAATTGGTCAGGAACATTTTAAAGCACTCTATGCCTTTGAATAAAGCAAATGTGGGAATGGGGGCAGATTAATTGATAGATAGTACATCCTAAAATAATCCAAAATGGATACTGTAAAACTACTCAGTTTAATGGAAATAATGTAAAACTACATTTTACATTATAAAAATGTTAATAATGTAAAACTACTTTCACTTAGCTTGAGTGGACTGGTAATGGTGGCTGGCAGCAATGTAAGGGAAGAACTGGCCCAGAAATGAGGTAAAGTCCAGCCCAGGACCTATAACTGTACTACAGAGGCCTTAATTCCAAGAAATTAAATTACAAGGACACAAAATGAGAATGTATATTCAGTTTTATTTTCTTTGCTGTATTTGGCTCAATAGTTTCTTAGAATGGTTTCTTTGATGGCATCAAGTTTTCGGAGGACCTAAGAGCCAACTTGGGATGGCTGTTAGACTCAGAAAAATGGTCAGTTGTAGGCAACAACCTGAAGGAAAAAACAATTACGTCAATAGTCAGAAACTTCTGCCCACCTCCCTTCTCTCTTTCCCTCCTCTTTCCATCCCAGTTAAGTATGGCCCTGTACTACTTATATTGAGAAGGTGGAGGACAGGAAGCAGGTTTCAGCTGTCAGGATTCCTCAGTGTATGTGCATATACCCAGGACAATGTGGCAAAGACAAGCTTCAAAATGACTGAGCCAAGGCTCATGCCACAAGATTCCAGAAAGTGTTTGAAGATGGGTTGTGGGGCTTTACCACTAGGTCAGTGTAGGCAGAGTCTCACCCAACCCTCAAACATTATTTAAGGTGGTAAACCACTCTCCAAAGGGTAGAGAAAATTCTCATCATGCCCTTAGAAAGAGCTTTTGAAAGACAATATTGGTGTTCCTTCCCATATCCCATATTGGCCTTTCTGAAGCTCTTTTCTCCCTTGGCCTTGACTTTGGACAACACTAATATGTGTCTGGTTCAAGCCTGCTACTGCCACCATTGTACCCTAAACAATAAACAGTATGGTGAAGCCTGCTCAGTACTTGAAGGGGAACTCAAGATGGCAGCATTAAGGAATAGTGTATACTGTGGAGGACAGGGAGGGGTGAACCACATGAACATGGTGAGGAAGATGATGGCTTCCCAGCCCAACTTGTGTTCTCTCTCTGAGGCAGTGTGTGAATCTCCTGGTGGCCCTATTTTAACCCTTCATTTGAGATGACTCACGTTATTTATCCAAGAGATATAAGCAGACACCCGGGTGAAGACTGTGGGCTTCCTGGCGACATTACAGCCCAGGCTGGACACAAAGCTGGTCACTCCATGGACAGAATACTGGCCATTCACCAAACAATGGAGGGGGCCCCCAGAATCACCCTGCAAGAACGAGAAGCAGAATCTGGAAAACTCCAGATCTTCTGGTCTTTGGGACTTTATGTTCCCCCTTTCTCATGCCCTTCTCACTCCATCTCTGCTTATAAAATCCTATACAGTTTTAAAGCTGCAGTTCTTATCCCCACCTTCTTCACAGCCTCACAATCAAGATGAATCTCTTCTTCCTTTCTAAACAACCACAGTACTTTCTTCCCCTTTTGCAGCACTTGGGTCATGATTTGCCCTGTACTACAGTTTCATAATTTGTTTCTACCCCCATGTGTATCTATGAGCTTTTTGAGACAGAAACTAGGTTTTATTGATGTTTTTCCTATCCAAATCGCTAGCATAGAACTTTGAACATCTTAAGCTCACTAGCTCTTATTGACTAAAATTGAACCTGGGCTGGGGGAAGTGGGGTGTTCTAATAGTTTATTTATCCCCAGCGTTTAGACCAGTGCATGACACAAGGTAGTTAGTCAACACATGTTAAACTAAACTGGGGTGAAGAGAAGAGAAAGTGATATGTTGAGTAATAGTTGTGTGTTCAGGCTTATAATTAGAAAACTTGCATTTACAGAATATGACTTTGACTCTCTGCTCCTGTACAACTCCCAGAATGCCAGCAGCAGGCCTATAATTCCATACATAAAATTGGAAGGCGTTTCTCTGGAGAATCTTAATAGCCCAAGAGGAAAGAGCCAAAGATACTGACATGAGCAGTCCCCTAAGGAAATTATCTAGCCCAGTCACCTGACAGAGACATCCACTACAGATGAACCCTATCTAAGACTGAGTGACCAATCAGCTTTTTCCTTTGTTACTCTGAAATAAAAGCAGCTAGTCAAGGATCACCAAACAGCTGAAGAAAGCTTCCAATATAAAATAAAGATCAAAACAAAGAGACAAAGAAAGAATAAGAAGAAAAAAAGAAGGGTATACAAGTAGAAGAATATTAGCAATAAAACTACAATTAATACTGCATCCATGATGTAAAAACAGCATGCCATTAAACAACATTCAGAAAACAAGAAGAGCGTTTAAAATTATAAATAGGATAGCAGAAATGAAATACTGGAAGGATTGAAACAAGCAAACAAAATACAGGGAAAATAAGAGGAGGTAAACTTGAATAATAGAAAACTGTAAATGGAAGGGAAGAAATCATCAACCAAAAATTAAACATTTTCAGAACCAAAGGTCTGGAGTTTGAGTTTACAGACTGAAAAAGTCCACAAAGTGTCCCTCACAGTGAATGTAAATAGATTCATACTAAGAGACAAAAAGGAGCTCTGGTGATGTAGTGCCTAAGGCATTTAACCAGAAGGCTATCAGTTCAAACCCACAGCCACTCTGGGAAAGGAAGATGTGGCAATATACTTCCATAAACCCTATGGGGTATCTATGAGTCAGACTGACTCATTGACAGTGAGTTTTTAAGAGATAAAACCCTAGAGTCAAGAGAAGATAAAAGAGTAGAGAGCATGGGGCTGAATCAGTGATCAGTTGAATATATATCAAGCAAATGAAAAAGGCAAGACAATTATCAACTCCAGGGGAAAAAAAAAAAAAATATGTAGGAGAAGAAAAATAATTCTAGAATACTACATTGTTTCGTTGTGAATAGCATTTTACATAATCATAATAAAGACTAAATATTCATTTAACTAAAATTACTTTGGGCCATGAGGATAAGGATGGGAAAGTGCATGCTTGGAGTGTGTGTGAGTGTGTATGTGTGTGCGTAAAAGGGAGAGAGATCCATAGCTCTCATAATGCCTGAACCGAAAAATCAAGTAGCAATATAAGTATGTATTTTTTAGACAGAGATGGAGATAAGACATGAAAAGAATTGGCTGATAGAGTTGGAAGTGGTCTCCTCTGAGGAGGGATAATTGGTGGGGTGGAGGGAACAAAAAGACTGTATTAAGCCTACAGTTTGCTTTACCAATTTAAGCAATTTAATATGTAAAGCTTTGATAAAAATAAAAATTTAAAAGAATTAGAGGAAGGGACCAAAGTTCAATTTGGGGATAATCCTTTTAAAGAGGAACTAGCAGTAGCCCACCCCAACTGCTTCTTAGGAAAACAGGATGTTTTCTTTAGATTATGGTACTCAAAACACAACAACCTAAATGTCTTCCACCCAAATTTTAAAGTACATCTGAACTAGTTGTTGTTGTTGTTATGTGCCGTCGAGTCAAACCTGGCTCATAGAGACCCCTCCTTGGGTTTCCGAGGCAGTATCACTACGGAAGTAGGATTGCCCAACCTTCCTTCCGAGGAGTGGCTGGTGGGTTTGAACCGCCAGCCGTCTGGTTAGCAGGCAAGTGTCTTAGCCACTGTGCTACCAGAGGAATGGACAAAATACTGAAACCAAACACACTGCCAAGTCAGTTCTAACTCGTAGCCACCCCTCCTTGGGTTTTTGAGGCAGTTATCTCTACAGAGGTAGATTGCCCAGTCTTCCTTCTGAGGAGTGGCTAGTGGGTTTGAACCGCCAGCCTTACGGGTTAGTTGGTGGTTCAAACTTACCTAACTGAGTTATGTATATGCAATTGTTTTATGCTGATTGACTGAAAAGAGACAAAGACTCTGGAAAGAGGGAATATGTGGCTGAAGATTTTATGGCAAAACGAAGAGCTGGAAAAGAGCTCAGTGGAAATGGGTGTTTTGAGGCAGAAGGGTGGCTTGTGAATCTACTCTGAGAAGAAGGAGTGGGGACCCAGAACTCTGAAAGGTTCTGAAGACATCCTATTTGGGATACTCCTGTGGGAAGGGACCTGGCAACACTGTCTCAGAGAATTGTCAATTGGGAGTGATAGCTAGAAGAAAAGGACTCTAGTTTTTTCAGAGATCAAGGCCTTGAGAGAGAGCAGAGGCAAATGAATTAACTCAGAGAGTTAAATGTTAGGAGATTGGTTGTGGGAGGAGCTGGGTGTGAGGACCTGGAAGAAGTTGCATTATGCTTTAGGATCTTTTGCCTCTACTCTGTGTAGGGATCCTGGGACACAGGACTTTCAGTTTTAAAAGTAGGGAAATCTTGGGCAAACTAGAAAGAGTTGGTCATTCTACTTTCATGGTTCTTCAAGCTCACAAAAACCTTCAATTTTTTTCTGTTTCACCCAGTCCACCAGCCTCCTGCAGGCTTCTTTTCCTCCTCCACCTAGCTTGTACCTTGCAGTTGATCTGCAATGCTGTCCTTTCATCCCAACCATGCAAAAAAAAACCCAGCCCTGAATCAATCAATTCCCTGTCCTAAACTGGGTCTTTGAGTGACGTGGAGTGAATCATAACTCGCATGGTCATTACTGTACAAATGCATGGTCTCCAATCTTAGCCTATCAGCAACATCTTGAAGGACAATCCTCTCATTCCCCGTAACAGATACTCCAGGCATGAACAACCCTTGCTTCCTCACTTTCAGCAGTTAATCTGACTCCTCCTAGTTCAATAGGATAATGAAACAATAACGTGGAACAGCTTCCAACTTCGAGCTACCTAATCTGCAAATTCTTCCTGTTCAAAGCCAGCTCCAATTGTGCCTTGGTTTCATCTCTTCCTTCTTTATCTGGGACCATTTGCCATCTATTATTCCTTCTTTCTGACTCCATAGAATCCTTCCTTCTATGGTTGTGGTGTTGTTTTTAGGTGCTGTCGAGTCAGTTCTGATTCATAGCGACCCTATGTACAACAGAACAACACACTGCCTAGTCCTGTCCCATCCTCACAATTGTTGCTATGCTTGAACCCATCATTACAACCACTGTATTAATCTGTCTGGTTGAAGGTGTTGCCCTTTTTCTCTGACCCACTATTTTACCAAGCATGATATCCTTCTCCAGGGACTGGTCCCCTCAGACAACACCACCAAAGTAGATGAGATGGATGAAGTCTGGCCATTCTCACTTCTAACAAGCATTCTGGCTATACTTCTCCCAAGTCAGATTTTTTCATTCTTCTGGCAGTCCATGGTATTTTCAATATTCTTTGCCAACACCATAACTCAAATGCATCAATTCTTCTTTGGTCTTCTTCATGCATTGTCTAGCTCTGCCTTTAACATACTCAATTTTCTTTTCTCTAAAATCCCTCCTTTCACCTCATCATTTGCCTTCTTCTGTAAACTACCAAACTTTTTCTTAACCTCTCACTTAATCCAAGATTCTTAAAAGAGTCATTTACATTCACTGCTACATTCCTTAAGATCTCTAGGTGATACAAACGGTTTGAGCTTGACTACTAACCCAAAAGGCAGGTGGTTTGAGCTCACTGAGCAGCACTATGGAAGAAAGACCTGGCAGTCTGCTTCCATTAAGAGTACAGCCAAGAAAACCCTATGGAGCAGTTCTACTCTGTACCGCGTGGGGTTGGCGTGATACTGCCTCTTTACTTACTCTCTCTAAGTGCTTCTGCTTTCATCATTCCTCTGAAATTTCTCTTGTCATAGTTACCAGTAAGGAGCTCTGGTGGTGCAGTGGGTAAAGCATTTGGCTGCTAACTAAAAGGTCAGCAGTTTGAACCCACCAGCCACTCTGCAGGAGAAAGATGAGGCAGTCTGCTTCCATAAAGATTTATAGCCTTGGAAACTATGGGGCAGTTCTACTCTGTCCTATAGGGTTGCTATGATTTGGAACTGACTCTATGGCAGTGGATTTGTTTGTTTGTTTGTTTGTTTATGGTTACCAGTGACCCACCAATTTCCAAATCCAGTAGACACTTTCAGTTCTTTTCTGATGGGGCTCCTTGCTGCACTGTATTTTGATGATCCATCTCTCTTAAATCTCTGTAAAACCATTATCACCAGGGTTTTCTCTTCTAATCACTCCCTTTTTAATCCTTCTGGGTTCTTTGTCTCCCAAAAGCACTCAAGCATTTACATTTTCTGTTTTTTTCCCCAACCTGTGGCTCTTTTCTCATTCTAAGACTTTCGCCTTGCTCTTATGGGTATCTCTAGCCCAAATCCCTCTTCCTAACTCCACTTTCTTATGTCTAATTTGTTACTAGTTAGCCACATATGAATGCCCCTCTAGAATCTCAAGACTTGACTTGTCTAGAAATGAACTCATTACCTTCTGTCTCAAATCCTGTAGGTCTTGTCTGATCTGTGGCAACACCCCTCACCCCCAAATCACTTAGGCCAAATACCTGAAAGTCATTCCAAATCTTCCCTCTTTTTCCCTCTTTTCCATTCCTATCATCACTGCCCTAATTCAGGTTGTCAAATTTCTCACCTAAATAATTGCAATAACCCCCAACTAGTCTCCCTATCTTTCTTGCCCTCTTCAAAAGCATGCCTATGTTGTTATCAGAGAGATCTAAGAGGCCAATCTGCTGCTGCTCTCCTGTTTAAAACTCTTCAATGGTTTCCCAGGGCCTCAGAGGTAAAGTTCATTCCCAAAGCATGGCATTCAAGGCCTTATGTCATTTGAGTCCCATTATCCTCTCTGGTCTCATCTGACATTCCCTAGTACAGTTATGGGAGCTCTGGTGGCGTAGTGTCTAAGGCACTTGACTGCTAACCAGAAGGCTGGCAGTTCAAACCCACCAGCCACTCCTCTGAAGGAAGATTAGGCGATCCACTTCTGTAGTGATACCACCTTGGAAACCCAAGGAGGGGTCACTATGAGTTGGAGACATTTGTGCTCTAGTAAGGGTTTGCATACTTTTTCTGTAAAGGGCCAAAAGAAAACATTTTAGACTTTGCGGGTCATACAGTCTTTGTTACCATCACTCAACTCTGCCCTTGCAGGAGGAAAGCAGCCATAAACAATATGTAAATGAACAAGTATGGCTGTATTCCAATAAAACGTCATTCATGGACACTGAAAGTTCATGAATTTTTCATGAGTCATGAAATATTCTCCTTTTGATTTTTTTCAACCTTTAAAAAATAGGAAAACAAACGAAAAATGTAAAAGCATTCTGATATTGTGGACCATAAAGACAGGCAGCCAGCTGGATTTGGCCTTTGGGCTTCTGATATCTGTTCTAGCTATAGGGAATGCCCCATCATTCTCTTCATCTTCTGGGTTGTTCCTTGGCCTCGTGCCTTTGTTCATGCCGTTCCTGCTCTCTGAATGCCTTTTACCCTTTTGACTGGGTTAATCCTATTTAACCTTCAGGACTCACTACATTATTTTCTCCACTAAGACGAGTCTTTTCAGATCCCAGCAGGTGGAGGGCTCCTATATTCCCCTATGCACATCTTTATTATAACACTTAACCATATTATATTACAGTGTTCTGTCATGTGCCTCTTTCTTCCATTCCTCCTCCACTAGTCACTGCGTTTGAATCATCTTTACATCCCTAGTATTACCAGTGTCTCCTCAGAAGGAAGTTGGGCAATCTACTTCTGCAGTGATACTGCCTTAGAAACCCAAGGAGGGGTCGCTGTGAGTCAGATCTGACTCCACGGCGGTGAGTTTGGTTTAGTTTCTTTTTTTGTTGTTGTTGGCACACAGAAGATGCTCAGTGGGTATTTGTTGAGTTGCATTAAGTAATCTGTAAGATGATGTACTGCAGACTGCACTTGTCTAAAACGGGAGGATTCACTCTATTACATACAAGCTATTAGGAAACTATTTGGGGTGGTTTCCCTTACCACACTCACCTATACATACTTCTGCTTGTACTTCTGGCATAAAAGTGGTAGTGGTGGTGTGGAGCTATAAGACTGTTACACACCAACACATAAATGTTGGGCTGCATTTAATCTTTTAAGGTGAGGGTATTGAGCAATTAATTTTAAGTTCCCTTCAACTAGGATATTCTGTGAGTATAGACATAGAAGCATAGAATCATTCACAAGCCGTAATAGAAAGTTGGATCTGTGCATAGGGCTGGGAGTGGGGGGAGGGAACAGGAAGGTTAGGAAAGGGTGAGGATGGGAGGCAGAGAAGGAGGAGAGGCTGGAGTGGTGCTTCTAACACCTCCTATGTGTGTTCACCTGGCATCCAGAGCGAATCCCATCTCCACCAGCGCACACCATAGTGTTCTTCACAGTAGAGCCCCAGTAGGAAGAGCTGGAACAGGTGGCATAGTCCACGATGGGCAGGTAAGCCTGCTGCAAGGTCTGGGCCAACTGCCCATTGGCTGCATAGGGCACATAGCATTGGAGAGTCAGTCCCAGAAACTGTCTAGAGAAAAACCCTCAACATTCAGCTAAACCATCTCAAGCTTTGGTGAAAACTGAACTCAGGGCAATCTCCTTCTCTCTGTCCCCAGTATTTTCATGGATTCTCTTCCTCACTTCTCTCTTTATATAGCAGCTACAGGCCCCTTCCTCTAAGAAGTCATCTTTAATTACGCTCCTCAAACCACCAATTCTACTCCTGTTCCTTTTTTACTCTTAGATAGCTAAGGAATCAGAATGGTCTTATTTGTTGAGAACGTAACTGTCTTTCCTGCTTCCTTCTTATGTTGTAAGCCCCATGAAGCTGAACTAGGACTGTGCACTCTTGTTTCCATTCCCGAGCAGCTGTCCTTTTCTGGTCTTTTAACTTTTCAAAACTTTTGCACACATGTTATTTCTTTTGATCTATACAACCCTTTCTTTCTTTTTTATTGTGATTTTGGTGTAAGTTTACAGAGCAAATTTGTTTTCCATTCAACAGTTCATTCACATTTTGTTTCATGACATTGATTGCAAAATCCCCACAATGTAACAGCTGTCTTCCACTTCTTCCCTGTGGTTACCTTTTCCCTGTGTCCTTCTCTCCTGTGCATTCCTGCCCTCCGAGCGTCTCCCTGTGCAAATGCTGCTCTTCTGATCTCCTGTGGTTGATTATTCTAAGGAGGGTAGCTCCCTGTTGTAATTGTTCACCTTGCAGGACAGTCTATTGTTTGCCTGAAGTTAAGCCTGGCAAGTTCAATTCCAGCCTAAAGAGTAAGTATGGGTCATGGTCTCAAGGGTTTCACCAGTCTCTATCAGACCAATAAGCCTTTTTTTTTTTTTTTTAAATGATTTTGCATTTTATTCCACATTTTTCTTCTACTCTATCCAGGATCTCCAATTTTGATCCCTTTCTGAGTGGTTGTCAGTGGTAGCTGGGCACCATCTAGTTCTTCTGGTCTCAGGGTCATGTAGGCTGAGGTTCCCATAGTCCTCCAGTCCCTTGGACTAATTTACAACAACCCTTTCATGTTATAGATCAAGAAATTGAAGCACAATGACATTAACAGACTGAGAGCAGAACTGGGTTAGAATCATGTCTCTCTCAGCTCCTGGCTTTCCCAGTAGACAAACTGCTCACAGAAAGGCCCTGCCTCTCCTTCAGAAGCTCAAATACTGCCTGGTGACTGATGGATTTCTGTGTCAGGCCTAATGTCTCTGTCTTTCTTAACTATCTCTGTGCACAGCCCTCCCACATTTCCATGTTATATGAATAGCATTCCCTATCAGAAATCTACCCATGATGACTAGAAGAGAATTCAGGCCTTCTCTATCTCTCACTTGTCTGAGCCTACAGCTACCCCTGTTCATCCCTCCAACCCACAGCCCAGTGCCAGTCTATGGAGGTAGCATGGTGGTAAAAAGACCATTACATTATAGTGTTTATAAGGATGCCTATGTTCTGGCCTCAGCTTTGCACTAACCAGCCATGTAATCTTGTACAAGGTGCTTAATTTTTCTGGATCCTGCTTCCTCGTGTATAAATAATAAACTGGTACAGAATGGGGAGGTCTGGCAGCACCGTGGTTAAGTGTTGGGCTGCAAACAAAAAGGTCAGTGGTTTGAACCCACCAGCTGCTCCACGAGAGAACGATGTGGCAACCTACTTCTTTATGGCTTTACCCTATGGCTTAGTTTACCTCTGTCCTATAGAGTAGCTATGAGTCAGAATGTACTCAATGACAAGTTTAGTTTGGTACAGAATACTTTCTGAAGTAAGACTTTTTTAGTTCTAAGAATGTATGAGTCTCTGACTTGACAATGCCACATCCATTCTCAGCTTGAATTCATTCTCTGTCTATGAATACCTAGGATGACAGAAGAATAAGCCACACAAGTTGAGCTGCCTTATCCAGGACCCTAGCGTAGATGGTGCCAATGTAGGTCACTTACTCATGGTCCTGCCCCAGCCTGTGATATAGCAAGGACTGTTGTTAGCCAGGATGGTTCCCGCGGCGGGCAGAACACCCAACCTGACATAGTTGTTGATAGAAACGCTCTGGGCCAGGCGCAGCAGGGCGATGTCATAGCTGCAGGAGGAAAAGAGACTACTCACTCCTGGAGTCAGGCCTTTCCTCAGGTCACTACCTTGCCCTCTCTAAGTCTCTGTGTCCCCATGAGATTGGGAACCAAGACTTTGAAGAAGGAGAGTGGTAATTTGCTAAACCTCAAATTTGAGGAATTAGTCACCATTTGGGAGCTCTGGTGGCGTAGTGCCTAAGGCATTTGACTGCTAACCAGAAGGCTGGTGGTCCAAACCCACCAGCCACTCCTTGGGAGGAAGGTTAGGCAATCTATGTCCGTAGTGATACCCCCTCGGAAACCCAAGGAGGGGTCGCTATGAGTCGGATCTGACTCAACAGCAGTGTGTTTAGTCACCAGTAGTGTTGTGGGACATGATATGTTTAATAGCAGCACCTGCTGGTGGAGCCTAGGTATTGCAGCCTAGCACTCTTCCTGCAACCCAGGGAAGTGGCGCTTAAATCGTCCAACTGTGAATGGGGAATTAGGAACGAACCGAGTGAAGTGATTTGGTGGCAGAGAAGAGTTCTCAAACAAGAAAAATGTATTCAGGCTCTGAAAGCTCAGCAGAAACATCCAAATTACTTAAACTATTCCCTACCATCCAGCTCCCCAACCGCAAACTTTACAAAATTGACCACCATTTTAATGACTTCTTTTCCAAAAGTTTACAACTGTCTTGCAAGAGGTCACGTTATGATCCACTTTAAGAAATTTGCATTTGCTGATGGAGTCTATTTCATAAAGTAAATAATAAATAATAATAATAAACAAATAATAAAAACAGAAACATTTAACTGTATAGAGAAGGAGCTTCAGGTGATCCAATCATGTGACCCAGCCTAGACCAAGCAAATCCCAAACATCTTTAAAAATTCTCAAGCCCTGTCATCACTCAGAACTTTCCTCGATGAATGCGCCAGGTCATTGTCCTGCTCCAAAACATGGCACCCTCTCCCACACTCAATTGGGCCCCTCTACCAAAGGCCAAGCCATGAGCCACAGACTTGGCCTCAGGCAATGCAGTCCCTTTAGTCCTCTGGGAAAACATGTGAAGGAAGCTACGACCCCCATGGCCAACCAGTCAGTCCCCCACCTCCCAGCCCAGGGCCAGTCTGGCCTTGCCCCTACCCGGCAGCCACGTTATTTCTGTTCCAGGATGGGTGCACCACGATCCTCTGGACACTCACGTACTGCTCAGTGCCGTCATTCTGGCTCAGGTTGTGGTCTCCGACCACCACACGGAAGGTCATTTGGCTGGAGGGAGAGAAGGAAGCCCTGAGCGATTCAAGAGCCTCGAACCTCTATTTTCCCTCCTAGAGAAAAGCTGGAAAGCCATCTTACATCTTATCTTTAAGTCAGAAACCCAGTCAGTGAAGGAGGTAAAAGACCATCCAAGATAAGGAAGTAATAATTCCCCTTATTCCCTAATTCATTGTTTTGTGGGAGTGACAAAAACTCCCATCAACTTCGTCTTCCCAATTTATTAGGTTAAACATCATAGGCTGAATATCTCATCACCTGGGAGAGATGTTGTGGGCATAATGAAATAATGGCTCTCACCTTGCAAAAGGATTTTGAGGGAAATATCATTTATTGGCCAATAGTTTAAAATTAAAGCATGGTCCCTGAACCACCAGCAGCAGCTGCTTATTGAAATGCAAAATCCAGGCTTTACCCTGGACCTACCAAATCAGAGCTCTGGTAGCATACGCCTAAGGCACTTGACTGCTAACCAAAAGGCTGATTGATGGTTCAAACCCATCAGCCACTCCTCGGAAGGAAGATAGGGCAATCTACTTCCATAGTGATATTGCCTGGGAAATCCAAGGAGGGGTTGCTATGAGTCGGGTCCGACTCGACGGCACATAACAACAACAACAAAACCAAACCAGAAACTGTGCTGGGTAGGGTGCCCAGCTATCTGTTGTTGTTGTTGTTGTTGTTGTTATGTGCCGTCGAGTCAGACCCGACTCATAGCAACCCCTCCTTGGGTTTCCCAGGCAGTATCACTACGGAAGTAGATTGCCCCATTTTCCTTCCGAGGATCCTCCAGGTATTCTGATGCATGCTGAAGTTTGAGAACCACTGCCCAAGACAAATATGAAAAAACAGTCACCAGCCAGACACTGACCAGGCACTTAATAAATATTTACTTACTTAATTCTCGTAACAACTCTACAAAGTATGTATTATTACTTCATTTGAAAGATAAAAGAATAAGGGGCATAGAGAGGCTAAATTGCCCAAAGTTACACAGCTAGAATGTGGAATGGGATCTGAACAAGTACTTACCTGACTCCAAAATGAATACCTTTCATTACACTGCTACGGTGGGGTAGTGACTAAAGCATTTGACTGCTAACCAGAAGGTTGGTGGTTCAAACCCACCAGCCACTCCGTGGGTAAGCTACTTCTGTTAAGATTTATTGCCTCAGAAACCCAGTGGCAGTCGCTAGGAGTTGGAATTGACTAGATAGCAGTAAGTTTGGTCCCCCCACCCCAAGTACTATCTCCCCAAAGGCCTCTAAAACATGCGCAGGCTGATCTGTAACCCTCTTAAAGTCCTGCCCAGAGAGGCCAAACATACATTCTTCCCCCAGAAGAGCTGAGCACACAGACTCTTCCTTTTCTCAGGGGCTCAGTAAAGCTGTTCTCTGCTTTTTCACCTGTCCACACAGTGAGCAGCTGTCATCACCCAGTTCTGTCTAATAAGGGTCCCTCCACAGGTGTGATACCAGGAACCTCCAGACAGGTACTGAAGGGAAATCTAGATCAGAAGGAAAAAAGGAAGAGATAAGTTGATGTTTCTCAAAAGATTTTGCCCCAGACTATATGTTACCTCCTTAAATTCCTGTCATCTCTTAAAACATTCTCCAACTTTTGGGCTAGAGATGGCAAATAGGTTTCATTTGACCTGCCAATTGCTTGGTTGGTTGATAGTGGCTGCCTGGAATATGATGTTGAGAAGGGCTGAGCAGACACCTCAGCAGGTCAGCAGGGAAGAGTGCACCATTGTTTGATGTTTGCTGTATACATGGACTGGGGAGTGAAGACATACACATACTGTGTATTTGACACCCTTGCTCTAGTTTTGTTTTGTTTTGTTTTTTTCCCAGAAAGCTTTGGTGAAAATTTATTACACTACAACACTCATTTCAATCTCAATCAGTGATTCTTCCCAATCTTACTCTCTATAGGTGCTGGCATCTTTTTTTTTGTTTGTTTGTTTGTTTAATTGTGATTTGGGTGAAAGTTTACAGAGCAAATTCACTTTCCATACAGCAGTTCACTTACACTTTGTCTCATGACATTGGCTACAATTTACCACAATGCAACAGCTCCCCTCCCACTTCCTCCCAATAGTTACCTCTGCCCTGTGTCCATCCCTCCATGCACTCCTGCCCTCTGAGCTGTCTCCCTGTGCACACACAGCCCTTCTTCTCCCATGATTGTTCTCTCCAAGGAGTGTATCTACCTCAAGTAAATGTTCAACTCTTATGCCTGTCTTTTGTTTGGCTGGACGCCACAGGTATGTGTTCAATTCCAGACCTGAAGGGCAGCTAGGCGCCATAGCCTCAGTGGTTCCACCAGGCTCTATCAGACCAGCAAACCTGGTCCCTTTTTTTACCAAATGATTTTGGGTTTTGTTCCACATTGTTCTCCCTCTCTATCCAGGATCTCCTACATAGATCTCCCTCTGAGTGGTTGACAGGGGTAGCCAGGCACCATCTAGTTCTTCTAGTCTCATAGTTTTATAGGCTGAGGATTACATGGTGTACCAGTCGCTTGGACTAATTGTTTCCATGAATTTTTGGTTTTCTTCATTCTTCTTTGCTCTGGACGAGGAGAGACCCATCATTCATCTAGATGACCCCTCGCAAGCTTTTAAGATCCCAGTTGCTACTCGCCAAAGTATGAGGTGGAACAATGTTTTGTGTAGTATGTTATGACGATTGAGCTTGATGTCCCCTGTGACTGTGGTCCAGAGCCCACAGGTTCAACTACTTGGTCCCTCTGGATAGCTGGCTATGGCCAAGAAGTGACTACAACCTAGTCCCTTGTCAGCTCTACTATACACCTAGGAATTCAGATCATACAAATACACCTGTGGAACGATTGTCTGCCAACCCTATACATCGTCTTGGGTACACTCCCCACTGCATAGACATACCTAATAGTTCAGCCTGTCCACTCATCTATCCACCTGTATACCCATGTTTTCCTTCACTGACAACACAGTACTGTGTGTGCAAAAGGGTTCGTCTTTGTTGTCAGTACCTCCCGTGTACCTCTCTATGTCTTCCTCTTCCTCAATGCCACCATGTTGATCACTCACATTTGGTACACTGCCTTTCTCTTCACCCAAATCAATATTTATCTCTATGTATGTAATAGTGTTCCCTCCCCTCCCCTCCCACCCAACAAAGAAACTTTCTTTGTTCAACCAACAAAGAAAATTTCCTTCCCTAGATAAACCTTTCCTTGACTTTTTACAATAATGGACTAATACAATATTTGTCCTTCTGTGATTGACTTATTTCACTCAGCATAATGTCCTCCAAGTTCATCCACATTATGCAGTGTTTTGCAGGTTCTACATTATTCTTTAGCGTTGCATAGCATTCCATTGTGTGTATGTACCATAGTTTGGTTATCCATTCCTCAGCTGATGGACACCTAGGTTGTTTCCATCTTCTGCCTATTGTAAATAGTGCTGCGATGGACATGGGTGTGCATATTATCTGTTCTTGTCCTGGCTCTCACTTCTTTAGGATATATACCTAGTAATGGAATGGTTGGGTCAAATGGTATTTCTAATTCCAGCTTTTTAAGGAATTGCCATACTGCTTCCACTGTGGTTGTGTCATTTTAAAGTTCCACCCCTGCTCTAGTTTTTTGCAATGGGCCTAAAACCCATGTCCTTCTACCTTCATTCCCTGTATAATGATGGAGCTAATCAGTTACTCCATCACCCAAGCCCCACAAGCTTAGGTCTTCAGAGCACCCTCTCCAATGTTGTCGAGACACATTTTGTCCCACAATTTCAGGGGATACTTAGAAACACCTTTGGATGTTCAGTCAATCAGCTCATATCTCCTCCTTCAGTACCATATATTATATAATAGCACTGCTCCTGAAAATTGGGCCTCATATTTTTGTAAATTAAATCTGTTCTTATTGTAGAGGTTCCTCACAAAGCATGACTATTTACCACTTACAGTGACAATTTCACACATATATATTTGCTTAAATCAGGGCCCAGTGTTTGCCCTGTTATGAAAGTGGAACCTCTTTAAACAGCCAAATAAGCAACATGCTCTACTTGGGGTGTGTGTCCAAGTGGATATGTGACACTCTGTATGGAGTGTGTATGTCACTGTGTGTGGAATCTGAGGTGCAGGTCTGGCACGTGCATGTGGCAAAAGTTGTGTCTCTGGGATGTAAATGTGGTCTGTGTTTGAGTGTGTACCTGGTAGAATAAGTAAGTGTGGCTGAGGTTTAAACCTCCTTCTTTAAGCTTTCTGCACTTAATAAACCACCTAGGCCTGGTCCAATCTGTCTTTATATCTACAGTCCAGGCAGTTGGACAGCTGCATGTTCCTAAGGGCATACATAAACATATGTCTGCTCACAGGCAACTCTTATGTTGGATAGATGCCTGGGGCTATGAGAGAATACCCACCTGAGAGGGCCAGGCATTCCTCTGGGTCTCAGTCCCTCCAACTACCCGGGGGTTGGTTTCCGGAAAGTCCTGAGTGCTGTGTCCTTTGTGGGGCAGAAGAAAAGTAAGTGATGTCTAAGCATGGGGTCAGCTCGGGGTGGGGTGGGGGAGTGGGAGTTATGCTTTGAGGAATGTTAGCCTTGTCTGCAAATTCATAGCTCCTCTAACAAATGAGGGACCCAGCTGTGTGTCCCCTGAGCTTCTTCTGAAAGCAGGGGAGTCTATGCCTTCTACTTCTTCCAGGTGTCTCCAGAACTCTGGCACACAGTGAAGGACCTGTCTCACACACCAGGCTAGGGCTGCAGAGGTATCAGCTGGGCTAGGCATCTTTGTGGTCTTAACTTTGCTCAAAGTCACCTCTCAACCTGAGGACCTCCCATCCCCCTGCTTTGGTAGGATTTCTCAGGGGGCAAGGACACCAGTGCACATCCCAGCCAGGCATGAGTATGCCTTTCTGTCAATGGTGGTGGTGGGGAAGCCCAGGCCTCCTGAAGAGGCTTCTCTCTGCTTCATGGGTCAGGGACACTGACCTTTCCTATCAGGAACTCCAGGAGAGTAAAGTTTTTATTAGAATTTTAGGCACAGAGTCCTACCCCTTCCTGGGATAGAGAGTAGCCCTGGGCTTAGGGATGGTTTTCTGACCCTCCTATGCAACCCTTCCTCCCTATAGACCTCTAATACTTGGCCCAAAAAAACCACTTACCATAAAGGACCAGGGTGGCAAACACCAGGAAGCACAGCATGTTGCCAGCAGAGTGGACCACTGCCCTCTTGCATGGACCAAGCCCTCTTTATATTCCTCTTACCAGCAGCTTTTCTAACCTTCCTCCAGCCAGCTGGCAGGGCTATGGGTGGAAGGCAGGGAAAATCACAGGTGACATGGAAATACAAATGAAAAGGTTTCTTTTCAAGTAAACTTATTTATCTGTTGTTCAAAGACAAAGCAAGGTCAGGGCTGAATTAATCATCTGCTTTTAGTTGAAAAGCATTCAACAAACTCTTTCTCAGAAATATGAGGGAGAACTGTAACTGGCTTTCCCTCAGAATGCTCACCTTCAAAGTCCATCACTGCTTCACTGTTGTCCTTAGTGGCACCTGTGCACTAAGAGATAGCTGCAAGGGAGGAATAGAGGACAGAGAGGAAGCCGATCCAAGAGGAAGTCAGCAATTTCTCCCTGCTCCCAGGATGCAGAAATAGATGTAAATGAAGGGACATCAAAGCAGAGTAGATGCAGTGGAGAGAATTCTGATGGTGGCAGGTACAAAGAGACAGGCTTAAGGAGACTCAGAGGGGAACCAAAGAGAAAGAGCTTCCCAGGGAAGGAGAATGTGGGGAGGAGGCAACCCACAGGACAGGAAGATACACTGAGGGCTAGGGGGGTGGAGGGCAGAGATAGCAGGAGGAGGGGGGCAGGAGATGAAAGGCAAGTAGAGGAGAAAGGGAGGTATGGTATGCTAAAAGGTGGGTGGAGGGCCTTGGGTTGGGCATAAAATGCTCAGAGCCAATGAAACAAAGTATGTTTGAACTGTTGAATGGAAAACACATTTGCTCTGTAAACTTCCACCCAAATATAATTTTTTTTTTTTTTTTTTTTTTAATGCTCCAGAGCCACTGCAGTTCCCAGAGCAGAGGATTACGGTTGGAGCAGTGATGGTGGCAAAGCGTGGGATTTGGGTTTAGGCAGGGAGAAGCCAAGAAGCCTAGAGGGAGGCGGGAAAACTACCTGGTCCACTGTGGTACACCTGGGGACTCCTTTGGCTTAGGCACTCTGGAATTCAAGTTCATGCCTGGAGGGGTGGGCTAGGCCTAGGAAGGCAATTCTAAGGAGCTCTACAGACTTCTCAGCTATTCAGGGGCCTTAACCTGTGCAGGAGAGTTTTACTTTGCTGCTTAGGTAACCGGGAGCTCTGGTAGCATAGTGGCTAAGACACTTGCCTGCTAACAAGACGGCTAACCTGGAGGGCTCCCTCTCACCCAAACACAGAGACCTTGGGGGAGAGGGCTTAGGGAACCCAGGGCCTATTTTATTATTTTCCTCCTACTTCCCTGCCTCCTCTGGAGAGAAAGGAGACAGCTCTAGCTACAGGTTTAGGAGCCCAAGAGGAAGCTTTAGGGCCCCCTAAAGGTTACCTCTCAACAGCACATACTCCAAAATGGTTGGCACCCAAGGGCAGGGCCAATGTCACATCCATCTCTGAATGACACCTTGCCCAGGGCCTACTCTACAGAAGCCCACCCTGTGTTTGCTTAAAAATCAAACTCTTCAGTCCTTCACTTAAGGTCCTCATAACTTGTTCATGATCCACCTAACTAGCCTCATCTCCCATGCTTAGGATCAGGCCCATTTTAATTTTCATTCTTAGGGTTAGTCACAGGCAGTGCCTGAGTTTAAATTCTGAAGCTCTGCATTTCTTGTAATTTCAGTTCTAAGAATGCATCCTTTTGAAATACAACCACAAAAATAAATGTTCAAGGATGTGGGTTACAATATAGTTTATCATAATACAAAGCTGGAAAAAAAAAGTATTCGTCAATAGGGGAAGGTTAAATGAATTTTGTTTAAACATATTATGGAATACTATGCAGCTTTTAAAAAGAGTAAGTTAGACTTAAATGGACTGACATGAAAAAATGTCCTTGATAAAGTAAGAGAAGGGAGCAAGTTGCAAATAATATAGTCCCTGTGTGTGATTATGTATATATCCATAGAAAAACGTCTAGAAGGATCTATAACAAGATATAAACAGAGAATATACAGGTTTAGAAGTGAATAAGGATAAATTTAATTTTTTGAACCTCGTATTCTTCTGTATTGACTCCTCCAGTTTTTTCTTTTTTTGACTCCTCTACAATTTTACTCTTATAATTTAAAATGAATAAAGAGTAAATTCTGAGACAATTAGCTGTCTTTGGTATATTTTTCAATACTTTCAAGTAGAAAATAGATCTCTAGAGGGAAGCAGCTCTTCAATGCTCAGTCCTTGCTAATGTGAGAGGCTTCTAGGGCCAAGAGATAATAGCCAGGGCCAGTAGCAAGGCTTGGAGAGGTAGGGGCCCTAGTTAGCTCTGAGAATGGTGAGAGGAGTGGTTTTTAGGGAGAGTGCAGATGTTAGGTTAGTGCAAGGCTAGCCTTGGTTAAGAGCCAGGTTATGAAGCTGGTTTCTTGAGCCTTCCCACATACATTATTGTCCTCCCCCTCATCTTGACTAAATCCTTTTCTTGGTCCTCCTCTCAACCCCAAGCTTGGGTCTACTTTCTAGGCATGGCATGTTGTCTTTCCTCCCTCCTGCTAGTCTCTCATCCCCTCTGAGTTACTGTTATTATTTTGGGGCAGGGGTGAGGTATCTTGGCTTCACAACTAGGCACCTTGGTTGGATATTTATCATAAGATTGGGCTAGGGAGTGTTGGGTGATGCTACAGACAATATGAAAGATAGTGGACTACATGGCAAATTATCAATGCCTGATAAATGTCTGGGAGGTAATGCAACAGAGACTAGGGCTAGGATTAGGGTTAGGAACTATGGTTCCCTATGGTTTACCTGACTTCTTAGCATAGCATTCAAAGCCTTTCTCAAATGGGCTCCAACCCACTCTTCTACAAGGCTGACTTACCCAGTAGGTGCAGTGCCTAGGCCCCACAATACTTTCACAGGCCCATGAAAATGTTCTAATTTCTTTAAAAATTATTAGGAGAAAAAAAAGCATATACAATCCAGCATGGACTTGTCTTTATACCAACAGAGCTGTGAAATGTAATTTGCTTTTTTAATGGAGCAAGGGTGCCATTAAAGGGTAAAAGTGCTCAGGACTCGCGAAAGTCAGCATGCGGCCCTGCTCTTCTAGCTTCTTTACCCCCCACTCCCTCGCCCTGATGTCCTTTTGATTTTCCAGGCCCACTTGTACCTTTGCACCTGTATCTTTGCTGATGACACATGCTAGATCTTTGCTTATGAGCCTTTTCTGTCTGAGGACTCATTCTCTGAGGTCTTAGGTCAAAGGTCAGTCTTTGTGGGGCCTTCACTAAGTGAAAAGGAATCCTTCCTTCTGACTCACCTAGCATACCTTTGAAATTCTCCAGGCTTGTCATTTACATCTTGTTCCCACCCCCCACCCCCCAAGAGAGTGAGTTGCATGTGAGAGGGGCCTCATCTTACATCTCTCCATACCCATGTCTACACGGTGCTTGACATGCAGTATGCAGGCTAGATTTTGGGCTGGAGGATGTTTGGGGACAAGAGACAAGGACTGTGGCACAACCTTCCAGAGCTGAATCAACTGATTTTCCAAATGGATCAGTTAATGGAAAACACAGGGAAGGAGGAACTCAACACAGACTTACTTTACTAATGTTATAAAATCTTTATTTCCGGCTGAGATCCCATCTCTTGTCTTCCAGGAAAGATCTGCTCCCTTTCTCCACCTCAGGTCATATCCTGGCTATGCTCTTTTCTCCCTTTGGCTGGGATAATCTAGAATGTCTCCTCTATAGTGTTCTGAAGGCCCGCAGGCCTTCTTAGTTGCCTGCAGTGATGGTAGGCAGCATGGTCCAATGGCACCCTCATGTGGCAATGCCCAAGATGACAGCCTGCCACTGAGCATGAAAAGAAACTCTCTTGGATGCCAGTCCTGTCTAGGCAGCTGGGTTTTCTGCAGCTGGGTTTTCTACTTCAAGCAAAGCCGCCTGTGTAGTGGGGTCCAGATAGGGTCACCATGGGTTCCAGCTTGCTTGGAGAAGAGCTGGCATGCATGTCCAGTCTGCTCCATGGTGGTGGTGGGGGACTTCATATGAGTTTACTCAGTCATGCTTGACTCTGCATACTGTCCCTGCTTCTTCAAGATTTCCCAGGACTCTTGATGGCCTACCTGTTCAGGAAGCCTGGGCTTTAGCTTCAGAGCTGCCAATACCTTATTGTGTAGCCTTGGACAAATTGCACCACCTCTTTGGTTTTAGTTTCATAATATGAAAATGATAAGGTTGGACTGAAACATCAGTTTTCAAATTGGACTGTACAGATCCTTAAAAATTCAGGGGCTGACAAGCATTGCCCTTTCCCTCTTTCAACTTCACCCACAGCTACTTTGCCTTTTATCTGCTTTATATTCCAAACCCAACCCACTGCCACTGAGTGGATTCTGACTCATAGCAACCCTACAGGACAGAGTAAAACTGCCCCATAAGGTTTCCAAGGCTGTAAATCTTTATGGAAGCAGACTTCCAAATTTTTCTCCAGTGGAGTCACTGGTGAGCTCAAACCACCAACCTTTTGGTCAGCAACCAAGCATTTTAACCATCGCTCTTACTTTATATATGTTATTGTTGTTGTTACGTGCCGTTGAGTCAGACCTGACTCATAGCGACCCCTCCTTGGGTTTCTGAGGCGGTATCACTACGGAAATAGATGATTGTCCAACCTTCCTTCAGAGGAGTGCCTGGTGGGTTTGAACCGCCAGCCTTCTGGTTAGAAGTCAAGTGCCTTAGGCACTATGCTACCAGAGCTCCTTTATATATAGGGTTTTATATTTATATATATATATTTTTAAAAAAGCGTTCTGGGACTTAAACTGACTTAAATCACTGGCTCCACAAGCTTTCTTTCAATACCAACATCCCAAGATTCCCAAATGAGGTCTCTTCCAACATGGCTACCAGGCTCCATTGTTCTAGGCTTTTTGAAGGCCAGCCAGAAACAATCAGAAGTGGCAGGAAGAGGGACTGGGAAGACTGGCTGCTAGTTACCTAGTGTTCTTGTGGTATGGTGGAAGGAGCCCTGGTTCCAAGTTGAAGATCAAGCCTCAATCCCAGTTCCATCATCACTAGCTGTGGGGTTGTGGGCAAGGCCCTCTAAGGCTCTTTGCCTTAGCTTTCTTATTTATGAAATGGGCAAGGTGATTCCTAGCTGCCTTTCTCAAAGGATTATTATGCTGATGAAATAAGATAATGGAAATTGGTCAGGGTGCTTCCTGTAAATATAAATGGTTCTACAAACATCTAGTAATATTAGCAAGGGAGGTTCTCTTAAACTTCTAACTCCTCCTTGAGGACACATCATTTCTCTAGATTCTGTGGGTGCTCTAGGTGACCAAGGGCTGGGAACAAGGCTGCAAAGGTACTTTTCTTGAGTTCACATTGTCGTCCTGGGCCCTCTCCTAGCTGTCTTCTCTGCTTCTGAGGCCTATGTTTAGAAGACAGAAGGAAAGTCCAGACCAAATCCTTCCATCAGTGTGAGAGAAGAAAAAAAAAAAAATTGGGTCCAATGTTTTTGCAAGGAGTAGAAAGGGCCTGCCTTGACATTCATTGGGTTTAGAAACCCATCTTAAAGGCCACAGAGGCACTGATGATTGGGTTCCCAGACATCAGCAATCCCAATTCCTGAGAGGTTGTGGAGGCTCCACTGGGGGTGACTGAGGCTTAGATGAAGAGCCAGTGCTGCAGGGGATCACTGGGGTTACAGGGGGCCATGGCTGGGTGCTTGTCCTGGGATATCAGGCAGGTACCAGATCCTGAGTTCCTGATGAGCTGATCCTAAAAAAGACACAGCAAAGGGTCAACCTGGGGTGCTGGACCTCTGAGAGCACTGCTGGGGGACAGTCAACCTGAGAGCACTGCGAGGGGGGCAGCAAGATGAGGCACAATAGATAAAAGGCAAATGAAACCCAATAAGGCACAAAGACGAGGCTTCCTTTCCTTGGCATGCCACTCTGCTGGGACACACTCCCAATTCCCCACCCTCAGCTTTAGCCTAAATAGCCCAGAAGAAGGCAGGAAGGTGGAATAGCTGAAAAATGAAAAATCAACCAACCAACCACATTCAATTAATGACAATCATTGAAAAGTGCTTTCAGCTTACCATCCCCCATGACCAGGATCAAAGACCTAGGGCCATTGTTGCCCCCTACTGCATTTCTGCCTCTGATCATAATTTACCTCCTTCTCACTCACTCTATATCCATCCCCAAGGTTAGGCTCCTGGAGATTGGGATAGGGGAGGGTGTGGAGGATCGTGGAGGTGCTTGATTTGGGCCCAGCACTGTAGAAGTTACACTGTACATCCTGAGGCCCCTGTGGCATGATACAAAGAGCTCATGCTTTCAAGTCACACTTATCAAGGTCTGAATCCCAGGCCTGCCATTTACCAATGATGAGTCTTGGGCTAGTCACAAACTTGCTGCACTTCAGTTGCCTCATCTATAGACATGGGAACACCTCCTACCTGAGAAGGGTCTCTGAAAAGGTAACCAAGCCAATGCATGTAAGTGCCTAGCTCTGCACCAGTCACACAGACAGGCAGCAACCATGAGCAACTCTTTACCTTCATCTACTTGGATTCAGCCTAAAAATTATTGGGCCATGGCAGAGCTGGCATGGACCATAATCTCTAACCCCATCTTCATGTCACCCACACAACAGCTATCCCCCAACACCACTTAAGTCCCTGAGAAGCCTGTCTGTGATCAAGCTCACACTCGCCAAGCATTCTGCATTGCCTGGATCCACCCCATGGTCCCTCAGGCAGAACACAGAGAAAATAAGAAGGAGGCAGCAGTGCCTCAGCTTCTCGATCCTGAGCTTTCTGGGCAGCTGACTCACCTGGGTCAATTCCCATTCTTCGTCCTTGGGGACCTGGCTATTTTTGCCAGTGAAGTTACATCTTCTAAGGCCCAGAGTGCCAGAGCTGGCATGTAGACACAGCTGCTTTGCGATATTGTGGCGAAGGTCCCTCTGGGTTGTGTACTCAAAGTACTGGAAGGCAGCAAGACAAGAGAAATCCTGAGGGGCAGACAGAGAATTTGCCCACCACCTTCCAAAGCCATCTACCCTAAGGTGCTAATCATGGCATAGCCCCTAAAGGAAAGAAATAAGCAGCCAAGGCCTTACCAGGACTTTAGTGATTCATGTGCTACTGTCATGATTTTTTACCATATCTGGCTGGGTTACACAGGAATAATAGTTACTTATCATTTTTTATTTAATTCAAATTTAAATATTAACTTAGGCTCACTTTAAACAATATCTGTTAAATCATGTGTTTTATATACTAGTTCTATTTTTACTAAGGCCAAACCCCCAGTCAGGCAGGTGGGCACAGGTGGGGAAGTGAGCAGAGTGGTTAGGAACAACTAAGGGAGATGAACTTGTCTGTCAGTTTGTTGTCTTGTAGTGGCTTGCATGTTGCTGTGAGGCTAGAGGCTATGCTACCAGTGTTGCAAAATGTCAGCAGAGTTACTCATGGTGGGTAGGTTTCAGCAGAGCTTCCACACTAAGACAGACTTGGAAGAAGGAAGAGGCCATCCACTTCTCAAAGAATTGGCCAGTGAATAGCAGTGAAACATGGTCTGATATATTACCGAAAAACTTTATGAACAGATCTGAAACATTGTCCAATATAGTGTCAGAAGATGAGACCATCAGGTCGGAAGGCACTCAAAATATGACTGGGGAAGAGATGACTCCTCAGAGTAGAGATGACTCTACTGATATGGATGGAGTAAAGCTTTCGGGACCTCCATTGGCTGATGTGGCATGACTCAAAATGAGTAGAAACAGCTGCAAATATCCATTAATAATCAGAACATGGAATGTATGAAGTATGGATCTAGGAAAACTGGAAGTTGTCAAAAATGAAATGGAATGCATAAAGATCAATATCCTAAGCATTAATGACCTAAAATGGACTGGTTTTGGCCATTTTGAATTAGACAACTCTATGATCTACTATGCCTGGAATGACAAATTGAGGAAGAATGGTGTGGCATTCATCACAAAGATTGTTTCAAGATGTGTCCTGAAGTACAATGCTGTCAGTGACAGGATAATATCCATATGCCTACAAGGAAGACCAGTTAATACTATTATTATTCAAATCTATGCACCAACCAACAAAGCCAAACACGAGGAAATTGAAGATTTCTCCCAACTTGTGCAGTCTGAAACTTACCAAACATGCAATCAAGATATGTTGATTATCACTGGTGACTGGAATGCAAAAGTTGGAAACAAAGAAGAGTCACCAGTAGTTGGAAAATTTGGCCTTGGTGACAGAAATAACACTGGAGATCGCATGATAGAATTTTGCAAGACCAACAACTTATTCATTCCAAATACCTTTTTTCAACAACATAAACGATGGGTATACATGTGGACTCTGCCAGATGGAGTACACGGAAATCAAATTGACTACATCTGTGGCAAGAGGCAATGGAAAAGCTCAGTATCTTCAGCCAAAACAAAGCCAGGAGCTGATTATGGAACAGACCATCAACTGCTCACATGCAAGTTCAAGGTGAAGTTGAAGACAATTAAAAGAAGTCCATGAGAGCCAAAATATGACCTTGATAAAATCCTTCCTGAATTTAGAGACCATCTAAAGAATAGATTTGACACATTGAACATCAATGACTGAAAACTGAAGGAACTGTGGGATGACATCAAAAACATCATCCATGAGGAAAGCAAAAGATCATTAAAAAGACAGAAAGGAAGAACAGACCAAAATGGATGTCAGAAGAGACTCTGAAACTAGGTCCTTGAAAGTAGAGTAGCTATACCAAATGGAAGAAATGACAGGATAAAAGAGCAGAATGGAAGATTTCAAAGAGCAGCTCGAGAAGACAAAGTCAGTTATTATAACAAAATGTACAATGACCTGCAGTTAGAAAACCAAAACGGAAGAACACGCTCAGCATTTCTCAAGCTGAAAGAACTCAGGAAAAAAATTAAGCCTTGAGTTGCAATACTAAAAAATTCTACGGGCAAAATATTGAATGATGCAGAAGATGGAAGGAATACACAGTATCACTGTACCAAAAAGAATTGGTCAATGTGTTCATCCATTTCAGGAGGTGGCATATGATCAAGACCAATGGCACTGAAGGAAGAAGTTGAGGCTGCACTGAAAGAACTGGTGAAGAACAAGGTTCCAGGAGTTGACAGAATACTTACTGAGATGTTCCAACAAATGGATGCCACGCTGGAGGCACTCGGCTATGCCAAGAGATTTGGAAGACGGCTACCTGGCCAACTGACTGGAAGAGATCTGTATTTGTACCCATTCCAAAGAAAGGTGATCCCGCAGGATGTGGACATTATAGAACAGTATCATTAATATCACATGCAAGTAAAATCTTATTGAAGATCATTCAAAAATGGTTGTAGCAGTTTATTGACAGAGAGCTTCCAGAAATGCAAACTGGATTCAGAAGAGGATGTGGAATGAGGGATATCATTGCTGATGTCAGATGGATCTTAGCTGAAAGCAAAAATACCAGAAAGATGTTTATTTGTGTTTTATTGACTATGCAAAAGCATTTGATTGTGTGGATGATAACAAATAATGGATAACACTGTGAAGAATGGGAATTCCAGAACATTTGATTATACTATGAGGAACCTGTACATAGATCAGGAGGCTATCATTCAAACAGAACAAAGGGACACTGCATGGTTTAAAATCAGGAACGGGGTGCGTCAGGGTTGTATCCTTTCACCATACTTATTCAATCTATATGCTTAGCAAATAATCCAAGAAGCTGGATTATATGAAGAAGAACATGGCATCAGAATTGGAGGAATACTCATTAACAACCAGTGATATGTAGATGGCACAACTTTGCTTACCAAAAGTGAGGATGACTTGAGGCACTTACTGATGAAGATTAAAGACTACAGTCTGCACTATGGATTATTGTTGTTGTTATGTGCCATTGAGTTGAACTCGACTTATAGCGACCCCTCCTTGGGTTTCTGAGGCAGTATCACTACAGAAGTAGAGTGCCCAACCTTCCTTCCGGGGAGTGGCTGGTGGGTTTGAAGTGCCAGCCTTCTGGTTAGCAGTCAAATGCCTTAGGCACTACACTGCCAGAGCTTCTTATGGATTACACTTCAATATAAAGAAAACAAAAATCCTTGCAATTGGTCCAATAAACAGCTTCATCATGGATGGAGAAAAAATTGAAGTTGTCAAGGACTTCATATTACTTCACATTACTTGGTTCAACAATCAACACCAATGGAAGCAGCAGTCAAGACATCAGATACCATATTGCATTGGGCAAATCTACTGCAAAAGACCTCTTTTAAGTGATGAAGTGCAAAGATATCTCCTTGAAGACTAAGGTGCACCTAACAAAAGACACATTATTTTCAATCGCCTCTTATGCATGTGAGAGCTGGAAAATGAATAAGGAAGACCAAAGAATTGATGCCTGTGGTAGTTAAGTCTGTGTATAAACCTGGCTGGGCCTGATTGAGTGGCTGGGAAGCTGGGTGTAGTATTCCCCATGAGTAGACTGGTAATCGACTCCATGGTGGAATCTACTGTGAGCAGCTGAGTAGCTGCCTCAGGGATGTGGTGTGCTTCCTATATATAAGGAGAAGCCTTGGGGAATGGTCTCTAGCTTAAGGCACACTTGAACACTGCATGTAGCCGTGTCATTGTTTAGCAGCCTGCCACGCTCTGCTGACCTCTGGACTTTCAATGGACTTGAATTCATGGCCTGCCATGAATGGTTTGGTAACATCAGGACTGTGCCTTTTTACTTGTCAACCTTGGGCTTGTCAGTTTCAGTAGCCAGTAGCTGTCTGAGTGATGAAAAGCCTCTAGTTCAGTGGGCTGGGAGCAGGAGGCAGAACTAAAGCCCAAGGTGGAGGGGCTTTCACGCAGGCCTTAGAGCCTGGCACTTTGAACTTGGACTTAAAGCCTCCAAACTGTAAGAGAATAAACTCCTGTTTGTTAAAGCCATTCCATTTGTGGTATATTCTTGTCAGAGCAGCAGTAGGTAACCAGAACAATGCTTTTGAGTTGTGGTATTGGAGAAGAGTGCTACAAGTACCATGGACTGCTAAAAGGTAAGAAATCTGTCCTGGATGAAGTGCAGCCAGAATGCTCCTTGGAAGCGAGAATGGCCAGACTTCATCTGAACTACTTTGGTCACGTTGTCAGGAGGAACCAGTCCCTGGAGAAGGATATAAAGCTTGGTAAAGTGGAGGGTCAATGAAGAAGGGGAAGGCCCTCAATGAGATGGATTGACACAGTGGCTGCAACGATGGGCTTAGGTATAACAAGGATCGTGAGGCTGGCACAGGACTGGGCAGTGGTTTGTTTTGCTGTGCATAGGGTTGCTATGAGTCAGAGACAACTTGATGGCACCTAACAACAATATTTTTGCTAAGATGGTTGTTGTTTACTGTTGCTGAGTCAGTTCACCCTACACACAGTACAACAAAATGCTACCTGCTCCTGTGCCATCGCCATGATCAGTTACAATTGGACTGTTGTAATCCATAGGATTTTCATTGTGGAAGTTACATTGTACATCCCAAGGCTGTAATTGCATATGCAATGTATAATGGGACAAGCTCCTTCTTTCAAATCAGACATACCTAGGCCTGAATTCCAGGCCTGTCATTTATTGCAATATTCTGATTCTCGGTGGAGTCTGGAAGCTCCACTGAAACCTGTTAATTAGCATCACCACACACAAGCCTCCACTGACAGACAGGTGATGGCTGCCCATGAGGGGCACTGGCTGGGAACCGAACCCAGATCTCCTGCACAGAAGGGGAGGATTCTACCACTGAACCACCAATGCCTCATATATTTTTGCTAATAAATTACTATTAAAAAAAATGTTAATCATCTTGTAGACCAGTGGTATAGAAAACTGTTTTAGAATGATTTCATCCTCATGCCAGCTTTTCAGTGTCCCATAACCAATAAAAACAAACCAAACTCACTGTCATTGAGTTGTATCCGACTCATAGTGACCCCTCCTTGGGTTTCTGAGGTGATATCACTATAGAAGTAGATTTCCCAACCTTCCTTCCAAGGAGTGGGTGGTGAGTTTGAACTACCAGCCTTCTGGTTAGCAGTCAAATGCCTTAGGTACTACACCACCAGAGCTCCCATACCACCCCTTTATTTGCCTCAGTTCTGTTTCTAACTTATGCCAAGGTCAGTAGTTATCCCTCAGGGAAAGGCTAGGGCATTGTAGGGCATGGGGTAAGTTCCCAAGATGCCAGGGAACTGTGAGATGTCAGTAGGTTGTTGGTAGCTGGGGGCTACTGCTGGAGAGGTAAGGTTGGTAGCTTCTGGGCAGGGGAGGCACTGAAGATAGAAGTTGAGTGTGGATGAGGGAAAGCTCTCAAAAAATATCCATACTCAGGAGAACAATGTGGAACAAAACTCAAAATCATAAAAAAAAAAAGACCAGGTTTGCTGGTCTGATAAAGCCTGGTAATACCTCTGAGACTATGGCCCCTAGCTACCCTTCAGCTCTGGAATTGACCTCACTCCTGTGGCTTCCAGCCAAATGATAGATAAACATATAGGGTGAACATTTACATCAGCTAGATACACTCCTTACGACGATCAATCATGGGAGAACAGAAGGGCAGTGTTTGCACAGGGAGACAGCTCCAGCCAGAGTGCGTGGGAGGGAGGGACACGGGCAAGAGGTAACTATGGGGAGAAAGAGGGAAGAGAGTTGTTACATCATAGGGAATTGTAGTCAATGTCATGAGACAAAATGTGTATGAACTGCTGTATGGAAAATGAATTTGCTCTGGAAACTTTCACCCAAATCATACACACACACACACACACACACACACACACACATATCCACACTCAGCATCTGGCATCATCCAGGAAGCCTCTCTGATTATAGACCTCCTTTCCCAGCCCCCGCTAGTCAGTGCTATCTCTGGATGTTCCTAATTCAGATCCTGTCTGTCTGTGTCATGTATTTCCCCTCAGACTGGGAGCTTCCTGAAGACAGGGCTGGTATCTCCTTCTCTCTCTAGATCTTTCCCTCTCTAGGCCTCAGCAAAGGACTATTCAGGGTAGAAATAGAGTTTTTGTGAGGAGAAGGGATGCCCCGGAGACAAGCTTCTCTTAGAATTAGTGTTTGGATTGTATACCTGGTTGCCACCGAGGCCGTGGCAGGCGTACATGATGAGGGGCTTCCCGCCAAGGTTGTTCTCCCCCACATCCAGGCATTGATTGGTACCAAGGCTCTTGATCTGCAAACAGAGTGGTAAGCAGCCAGGGGAACAGGACAGCAGTCAGGAGTTTTCTAGTTCCAGGTATAGGGCCTAGCTCAAATACATTTGCATGGCTGGATTTCCCCTGTGTGATTTTTCTCCTCTGCTCATCCTCTCTGCTCATTTACCCAGAAGCTTGGAATTAATAGGAAAGTGAGGTGCAAAGCCCCAGATGCTGGGCAAGGGCAGGACATCTTCTGTGGGGCAGGATAGGCAATGTCTCTCAGGATGCCAGGTCTCAGGAAGCCCTCAGCATGGAAGAGTTTCCTTAAGAGCAATGATTCTCAAAGTGTGATCCCCAGACCATGAGCATCACCTGGGAACTTGCTAGAAATGCAACTCTTGTGCTCTGCCCCAGGTCTACCTAACCAGAAACTCTGGGGGTGGGGCCTAGCAAGATGTGTTATAACAAGCCTTCCAGGGAATTCAGATGCATCTGTAAGGTTTGAGAATCTGGCTTCTGGGTTGTTTTCCCCTTATAAGACTTTTTAGCTATTCATGTTGTTGTTGTTGTTATGTGCCGTCGAGTCAAACCCAACTCATAGCGACCCCTCCTTGGGTTTCCGAGGCAGTATCACTACGGAACTAGGATTGCCCAACCTTCCTTCCGAGGAGTGGCTGGTGGGTTTGAACCGCCAGCCATCTGGTTAGCAGGCAAGTGTCTTAGCCACTATGCTACCAGAGCTCCCATAGAAGCCCCAAAAGGAGCTCTGGTGGTGCAGGGCCTAAGGCATGTGACTGCTAACCAGAAGGTTGGCAGTTCACATCCACCAGCTGCTTTGTGGAAGGAAGATGAGGCAATCTACTTTCATAAAGATTTACCACCTTGGAGGCCCAATGGGGTTGCCATGAGTTGGAATTGACTTGATGGCACTGGATTTTTTTTTTTTTTAAAGAAGCCCAAACTTAGTCTTCTTCCTGAATAAAGGTGTATGGAGGGTAAAAATCAATTCTTGTTTGCCATTCATCTGTGGGGAAAGTGGTCCTGAGTTTCTCCAGGGTGGAGAAATGTGTGATGGTGGGTAGGCAGATTGTTTTAAAAACTCACGGCTCCATAGAAGGTAGGCTTCAAGTCAGGGACAAACATCTCTGGGTAGATATTGTGTAGGAACCAGGAAAAGTTGCAACAATGCAGTTGTTCCCTCAGCTTCAGACGTTCCGAAATGTCACCGAATGATTTCTGTCAATGAAGCCAATGCTCAAAGGCTCGGTATCACCAGTCTTGACCTTTCAATCTGGGTTGAAACAGCCCAGACAGCGTGGAACTCTTGGGGCTACCTTCCCTCAAAAGTCTCTCAGGCTCATTACTGCTCAGGACCTGTTGGGGCTACTGACTGAGTCTCACATTCAATCCCCAACCCCTCTCTTAGCTTTGGGACTCCCACCTATAGCCCCTTACTCCCTCATCTCATGTGACTCCCCACTGAGTTTTCTCCAAGTCCTTGTGAGGCTTCTCTCAGAGCCATTCTTGAAAGAGGTTCTTGCTCCAAATCCCTCCTTCCTTGCCTTCCCGAGTACCACTTTCTCTCACCTCTTGAGCCATTTTTGCTGCCTGCAGGTTTCTCCGATAGAAAATCTCCTTGTAGTCATCCATCCAGACCTCAGCCAAGCGCACTTGATTGCGGGCAATGACACTGATGCCCTTGGGGAAGGTGTGCGGGCTCTTGGTACGGAACACGTGGCCTACCACAGAGCAGGGGATGATCTCCAGCTGGCCCCCACACTGCCACACCTGCCAGAGAGGAGACAGGGTGGGGCTTTCAGGGCTGAGTAGGAAAAATCCTCCCCAAGCAGCTCTGTTCTGTTACCAGGACGCCAGACCCCAGGTCCAAGGACTCAGGCAACAGCTGCTCTTTCCCCTTGGAAAGAAAGACACTGACCAGGCCTCTTTCTAGGTCATCACTACATAGCCCCAGGAGCTCAGATGTTGGTTCACTCTGACTTAAGCAAATGGAGATTTGCAGGATCCTGAGGGTTACCAGGGCTCATTTCTAGAGAAAAGACAGTTGGTTAAGTGTGTGCCTGTACCTTCTCTGAGCTCTGGCCACTTGACTTTTTCACCTGGAAATGTGATTTTTATCAGCTCACCCAGGTGTTACTGGAAACTCAAGCTCCCCAAATCAAGATAGACTTGTGACCCAAATCAGAGCATCACTGCATTAACAGTGAGGATGCCAGATGGCCTGTGGTAGTCCCCTGGACCTTTAGGATGCTAGTGCCCCAGGAGAGAGACTGAAGGGCAGTCAGAGGTCACTCATGAGTCTAGAATCAGAGCCCTGCAGGTTATGATGACTGGGCTGGTTTAAGACTAGTAGGTATGTTATTATTCATTTCTAGCATAGCAGCAACAGAAACGCATCGTCCTAGTGATATTAACAGCAAGTATCAATTATGTGCTTAATAAAAGCCAGGCACTGTGAGAGATGACTTTATACACGAGTTCATTTATTTACTAATTACCTCCCCACAGGCATGTCGACTGGTATAGACTTCACGGACAGGAAATCCTTTCTGACTTGATCCTGTTTTTTCTAATTCCTGGAATCCCTTAGAGTTCTGGGATCCACAGAATTTGGGCCACCATTTTCTCCTACCATTATGCAGAGCTTGATAAGCACAGGGCAACTCCAAGGCCACAAGGGCATGTGTCCCATGACCTTGGCAGGGGAGCTTTATTTTCCCAGAAAAAGGATGGTGATTAGATTCTGACCTGTTTCCACCACCTTCACTTTCATCCTTTTCCCACAGACATCATAAAAGATGTCACTAGTTCCTAGATAGGAGCTCTGGTAGCATAGTGGCTAAAGCACTTGACTGCTAATCAGAAGGCTGGCGGTTCAAACCCACCAGCCACTCCTCAGAAGGAAGGTTGGGCAATCCTACTTCTGTAGTGATACTGCCTCGGAAAACCAAGGAGGGGGTCGCTATGAGTCGGGGCCGACTCGACGGCACATAACAACAACAACAACAGTTCCTAGATGTCCAGTCCTATTGTCACTGTAGCCTCTTCCTTCTAAGAAGGGCTGCCCAGTAATCTGTCATGTTGTCTAGTCTGATTCCCAAAGACTGCTGCCAGGGATAGGGAGGGGATCAGAAGAAGGATGGAGTCATGATGAGAAATAGCCAGCCTTTTAAGCTCAGTCCCAGATATGACATCTCTGAAGCTGCTACTGCTCCAGAGACAGGTTCTCAGGTGTCCCCTGGGACAGTGTGGTCTCCCCCCCCCCCCGCAAAGCCCTCTTCACTCTCACCCGGAAGGACATTTCCACGTTCTCCCCTCCCCAGATCTCCATCTGATTATCATAGGTACCGATGTGCTCAAAGTAGGACTTGGAGATGGAGAAGAGGCCACCAGCAAACGTCGGGGATCTGGAGAGACAGAGGGAGAAGCATGTGCATTCTGGGGGGGAAGGAAACAGGAGCCTAGCGTGGAATAGCCGTTTGTGGCCTCACCTCTAATGCCTCCTATTCTATCCACAACCCCCCATCCCTCTCTCTGGGATTCCACTAATTCACTCATCCATTTAGCAAATACATTCTGAGGATTTACTATGCCCTCTTCCCCTCTTAAGATCATACCAAGAAGAGATATTAATTTATTATCTTCTAAAAGACACTCATTCATTCATTCAACCAACAAATGTATTAAACACCAGTCACCAGGGCCCATGCTACATGTTGGACATCCAGGGTTGAGAAGGACATAGATCTCATTCTCTGAGAGCTCATTTTTATAGCACCAGGAAAGCTACAGTTTTCTTTGTGGCAGCAAAGTGCCTGGAATATAGATACTCAGTTATCAGAAGTGGCTTGAAATTGTTTTTGGAAATAGGCAGGATTCAAATCATGAATGAATGAACAAATATTATCAGCTGGGCTGGCCCTATACTGCTTTAGGGTCCCTAGCCCTTCTGGAATTATTTTTGAAAAAGACAAATCTGTTGCCATAAAGTTGATTCTGACTCATTGTGACCCTATGTGTTACAGAGTAGAACTATTCCATAGGGGTTTTTTGCTGTAATTTTTACAGAAGCAGATTGCCAGGCCTTCTGTGGCACCACTGGGTGAGTTTGAACCACCAGCCTTTGGTTAGCAGCCCACACAAACTGTTTGCACCATCCGGGGACCTCAAAACCAAACTTGTTGCCATTAAGTCAATTATAACTCATGGTGACCTACAGAGGCCCCATATTAGTAAGATCCTAGCTCTTGTGCTTAATTTTGTATGAGAAACTTTAGCTTTGGGGGAAAGCTGCCAGCTGCTTTGAACACAGAAAATTGACAAGTGGTGTTCCTGGGAATAACAGGAGCAGTGAGGTGAAATGAAACTCAATTCGGACTAAAGGAAACTCAGTTTTGGACTAAATTTTGGGAGGTTACAAAGATTCTGGCTTCAGGCAGAGGCGGGGAGGCACAGAGGCAAGACACATTAACAAAAATATCTAATTCCTTGAATTTAGATAGTAAGTTGCTCATAAGAGGAGCTGAGCTAGGGCCTAGAGTATCCAATTGCGTGAAGGGAAATAGAAAGGAAGGGGGGCAAGGTATGTAATCATTGGCTGTTGACTCCTGTGCCAGAACAGATCAAGGTGCCTTACACACAGCTGGGTTCAATCAGTGTTCATCAGATTGATCAGACTGCTCTGTCAAGGTGACCACCTAGAAGCCTGATCTTGGTGTTACCCTCAGGCTGATCTTGGCATCTTGAGGTTGCTCTCAGGGCTACTTTCTGGAAGGAATTCAGCCAGGAAACCCTTATGCTCAGGCTGGCTTCCTGTCATTGGTTCTGGCCCTGCCATAGGTTCAAGCTAGCCCCACTGGTGTCTGGAGAGGCTCAGAAAGTCCTGGAACCCTAGATGAGCACTCTGGAGTTAATCTGCCTTTTCTCAAGGGTCTCACACCTGGGCCTGTCTCTTGGCTGGGTACCTTCAGGCTGGTACCCAGTTGGAAAGTCACTGACAAATTAGCTCTAAGGATCAGCCCCACATAGGGAACATCACATTTCAACAACCTGCAGGCAACCTCTGGCAAACATCCTGGTAATCCTGGCCTAATTCCTGGGATCCCCTGGGTCCTCTACCTCTCCTCTTAGCCTCTGGTTAGCTTTGAAAGTGCTGAGGATGGGTACTGCTAGCAGGTGCCCTGCTGCTGGTGAGTTTTTCTGCAAAGTGCCTTGGGCTAGCCATGTCAGCTACCAGGGCATTTGAACCCAGGGAACAAATTCCTGCCTCAAACACTGCAGCTTTGTCTTTCAGCTGCATGGTCCTTGGACATTGGAGCCAGGGACATCAGTGATTTGCAGGGGCCAGGTGCCCTGACCCTGACTGTGCTGCCATGTGCTTGGCCTGAGCTGGGGGCTTTGTTACTGTACACACCACACAAAAGGCATCTATGGGACAAGCAGAGGGACAATAGCGAGTTCCAATTTCTTTCCTCTCCTCTGCCCTTCTCTTCTCCCCTCTCCTCTTCTGTTGCTGCTGCTTCTCCTTCTCCTGATAGAGACAGCTGGCTCTTCAGGGTCCATGGAGTCCTCCCTGCGGCACCCACTTAAGTCGTCTCTACTGAGACTCTGGTGGCATCTCTTAGGATTCTGGGTATGTGAAGGGAGAGGAACTTCAGCATCCTCTCCTTTTAAATCTACCCTTTTAACGCCAGTCACTGTGTCTCCAACCTCCTCTTCCCTCCACCCATATGTACATTCAGTTGTCCTTAAGTTTCCCGGCCAGTAGAGGAAAACAATGGCACAGATAATCCAAAACCAAATATTCTAAAAGTCACTCCCCAACTCAGTCTGGCAGTGACAACAGTTCAAATAACTCTAACACCAACAACAGGAAATCTGCAGACGGAAGGGCAACGTGGGTGCCTTGAGGGCAGGGGAGTTCAGCTGGGCATTGTGGATATAAAGAGTGGATAAACTCTCAAGTATTCACTGTATTAAAAAAAAAAAAAAAAAAAAAAAAAACCCACTGCCACGGAGTCTGATCCAACTCATAGCAACCCCTCCTTGGGTTTCCAAGGCGGTATCACTATGGATACTCCTTCCGAGGAGTGGCTGGTGGGTTTGAACTACCAGCCTTCTGGTTAGCAGTCAAATGACTTAGGCACTACGCTACCAGAGCTCCTATTCACCATATAGGGTGGCACAAACAGTTAAGCGCTTGACTGTTAGCTGAAAGGTTGGCAGTTTGAACTCATTCAGAGAGATCTTGGAAGACAGGTCTGGTGACCTGCTTCCAAAAGGTCACGGCCTTGAAAACCCTGTGGAGCACAGTTCTCTGCACACATAGGGTCACTGTTTGAGTCGACTTGATGGCAACTAACAACTACCACCACCGCTGTACAGATAAGGGATTGACAAACTACGGCCAAATTTGGCTCCATAGCCAATCTTTTTAAGATTCTGGAGCTAAGAATGGTTTTCACATTTTTAAAGGGTTGGAGAGAGAGAGAGAATATGCAACAGATTACGTGGCCTGCAAAGCCTAAAATATTTACTCAAAAAAAAAAAAAAAAAAAGCAAACTCACTGCTTCAAGTCGATTCCAACTCAGCAACCCCCTTTGGGTTTCCAAGGCAATAAATCTTTACAGAAATAGATTGCCTAGTCTTCCTTCTGCAGAGTGGCTGGTGGGTTTGAACCGCCAACCTTCTGCTTAGCAGTCAAATGCCTTAGGCACTACGCCACCAGAGCTCCTTTAAAATATTTACTGTTGTTGTTGTTTGCCATCGAGTCGGCCCCGACTCATAGTGACCCCTCCTTGGGTTTCCGAGGCAGTATCACTACGGAAGTAGGAATGCCCAACCTTCCTTCCGAGGAGTGGCTGGTGGGTTTGAACCGCCAGCCTTCTGGTTAGCAGTCAAGTGCCTTAGCCACTATGCTACCAGAGCTCCTTTTTAGAAAATGTTCATGGCAGCTGCAACAAAGTGCAAACTGCAGAATGCTCGTCTATTTTCTTTTCATATGTTCTGTGTTTTCAAAGCTAGTGACCTGGGCACACATGCTGCCCCTTCAATTCCAATGGCTGTTCAACAGTGGCCTCCTCCCACTCTTTCTCTCTCCTGCTCTGCAAGCACCAGTCATGTCTATCCATGTGTAGAGAACGATGAACAAGATAAAGTATGTCAAGCCCCTAGCTCAGTGCCTGACATATGGTGAGTGGTCAATAAGGAGTAAGCTGTTATAGAGCTACAGTTAGGAGTTTTGCTCCAAGTAGGCCAGGATAGGTATCCCTGCTCCATCATTTGCTAGCTGAATGATCTTAGACCAAACGTTTATCACAGTGAGCCTCTGTGTCCCCATGTGTAAAACAGGTTAATCATAGTACCTATTGTACTGGGTGTGAATTTAATAAAATGTGTCAAGTGTTTGGTGGGGTGTCCAATAAATGTTGATGTCAGATGGCCAGGTCCCTGGAAAGGGGAGGCCTGGGGCCCTGGAAGCCAGCCTGGGGCTCACCAGCCTGTGTCCTTACTTGATGGGGTAGGTCTCATCCTTGCGCCTCTGCTTCTCATGTGGAGGGAGAGTTTCCCAGCCGAAGGTCAAGCTCCAGTCAAAGTTGCCTCGGCTATGGACTCTGCCCCTCTGGACAGGCTTGGAGAACTCGAAAGTGTTCAGGTCAATGGTGACGATGTCTGGGCTTACCACTGCTGTCTCATCTTCAGCGATGCGAGCCAGCAGGGGCTCCAGCCAGCCATGGAAGCATTCACCTGAAAGCCCAGACCAGGAGGCTGCAATCAGGGTCCTGCACAGAACTGAACCCACCCCACCCTTAAGCGAAGACCTAAAGCAAGAGGACCCTCCACCGCTCCCTGGTTGTAGACAGAGAAACACAGGCAAGCTCCACGGCTATAGAGAGCTCTCCTGAGACCCCAAGCCTAACTCCCAATTACTCTCCAGTGGAGACAGCTCTGAAGGGGAAGATGGGGGTCTCAGAACCTCTGCCCATCTCGTGGCAAGGATGCCACCATGCTTAAGGGAGTAAGATGGCATCGCCAATGATCCAGTCTTTTCGCTGAACCTGCCCTCTCCATCTGAGTGAGGATTTCAGAAGGAGATGTCTCCTCCCCCAGGGGTATTTGCATCTTAAAGCTTTAGCTCCAATTGTAGAATAATACTCCCTGAGATTTTCAATGGACTGTTGCATATATCACTTCATTTGACTCTCAGAGTAATAATTCTGTTAGGTGAATAAGGGCACCATCCTCACTCTCATTTTACAAAGGAGGAAACTGACACCCAGTCAGTGGCAGAGCCACAGGTAAGCTCAGGTCTTTTGACTTCACTTGCTGAGCTCCTTCCAATGTATACTGCCCCTCTTAGAGTAGTTTTTTCCCTGGCAGCTATGGGCAGACGTTTTGGTTTGAGGCAGGATGGAAGGCCTTTCTGATCTGTAAGGCACTGCAGGAAAGCCCCACACAAGCCATTCTCAGTGGTGATGGGAGGCCTCTCTGAAGGCTGAGCTCAGATGGGGCTCAGATGGGGGGCTAGCTAGAGAAACAAGCACCTGGGGCTCCTGAGCCCACTCCCTGCGATTTTTGGGTCACCAAATGTTTGAGGGCCACTTGTGCCTCACCTTCAGAGATGGGATGAGGAAAGGTTGGGAAAGGTTGAGGAGATGGGTCCCAAGCCTCCCACATTCCTGGACAGTAGAAGCAGGAAAGGGCTTTGGTGATGCTGCCCGCAGTCCCAGCTTTCCATTCTACCAGGGAGAAGAAGGCCGAGGCCCAGAGGGGAGGCACTAGACCCTGTTACTCACAGTGGGCATCCAGAAAGGTGAGCACCTCTGCCTGGGCCACGCTGGCCCCAAGCAGCCGGGCAGTGATTAACCCCTTCCGCTCCTGCTGCCGCACCACCCTCACAATCAGCAGCTGCTTCACATATTGGTCCAGTTGCTCCTTTAAGTACTCTGCAGAGGACAGTATCATTGTTGCCAGCTCACCACTTTGTTGCAAACCTAATCCCCTATGGGCACCAAGCCCAGGTGCTCTTGGGCCTCCAGCAGACCTGAATTTTAACCCTTCAGCTCCTCCTGCACTTAGTAATTCCACAGAAGCCGAAGTTGGGGAAAAAAGGGTGGAAGGAAAAGAATGAGGAGAGGAAGGGGAAGGCACACGTGTTCCAAGCCCATCCAGCTATCCCAAGTCCACCTTGCCAGGCAGCTCTGTGGTGCCAGGTCCTGGGCCTATTCACCTAGGCACATTCTCTAATGTCATGACAGGACCTCAGAGTTGTTTCTTTGTCCTCATATCAAATATAATCTTCTGACAAAGGCTCTCAGAAGCCTCTCCTGATTTCTTCACCCTCTCAGTCACCATCTTTCAGAGCTGTGATTCTGGCCTCTCTTCATTTCAACTCCTGCAGCTTGTGGCAGCCATTTCTTAGTGGCTATGCTTCCTGGCCTCCCAGACTCTTCAGAGTAAGCTTGACATGTAAAGCACCCATATGTTTTGATTTCTTGCTTGCTGGATCAGCAGCAGGAAGTCTTATTCTAATCTTCTTTATCACCTTCTCTGCATGTGGTGGTATTCTTTAAGAAGATGAGAACATGTACCAGGTGCCTACCCTGGACCAGGCACAGTGCTAGGGACTGGGGGGGGGGGTATGATGTGAGCCTAGCTCAGGTGGTTATTGTCCCAAGGAATGCACTGCCCATGGGTCGAGGCCGGCCAAGGATGGGTGCAGGGCAGGTGACCTGCCAGAGGTCATGCAGGGCTACCAGAGCCCCCAGGAGGGGCAGCCATCCTGAGTTTCAGGACAGGGAAAGCTCTTTGCAGTAAGGGGTCTGTGATGGTTAAGTTTGTGTGTCAACTTGCCTAGGCCTGGTTGAGTGGCTGGGCAGCTAGATGTAGTATTCCTCATGATGAGACTAGTAATCAACTCCACGGTGGAATCTACTGTGAGCAGCTGAGTAGCTGCCTTTGGGTATGTGGTCTGCTTCCTGTATATAAGAAACAGCTTTGGGAATAGTCTCTAGCTTATGGCATGCTTGCACCCTGCATGTAGCCGTGTCATTGTTCAGCAGCCTACCATGCTCTGCCAACCTTGGGACTTACGATGGACTTGAATTAATGGCCTGCCATGTGGTTTGGTAACATCAGGACTGTGCCATTTTATTTGTCGACCTTGGGCTTGTTAGTCTCAGCAGCCAGTAGCTGCCTGAGTGAAGAGATGCCTCTAGCTTCAGTGGGCCGGGAGCAAGAGGCAGAGATGAAGCCCAAGGTCAAGGGGCTTTCACACAGCCCCTAGAGCCTGGCACTTTGAACTTGGACTTCTAGCCTCCTGAACTGTAAGAGAATAAACTCCTGTTTGTTAAGGCCATCCCATTTGTGGTGTACTCCTGTCAGAGTGGTACTGGGTAACCAGAACAGGGTCTTTCTGCTGAAACCGCCAGTTCTGAGTTGGGGCTTATTTCAAGAACTGATTATTCAGATAGAAATTCTCAAAGCCTTAAAAGTAGCTCTAGTTTGAAGCAATCCATCATGAAACATATTCTAAACCTTATGTTTTATGAACTGCCAGTTTGGTTTATCTGTGTCACTGTTCTATTCTTGAGTGAAGTTTCTGAGGTGAAAGGCAGGTGTGTGTACTTTCTCTTTTGGGCTGTGACCTTGCACTAAATGCACTATGGGTCCTGAAGTAAATTTATTGGGTTGTCATCACACATACACACACATTATGCCCAAACACCTGCGTACCTATTATGTGCCACCCCTTGAGCTAGGTCCTTTCACATTTACCTTCTTGTTTAATCTTCTCTATGAAGGTTAATGAAGTCCCTGCATGGTGCAGATGGTTGCTGTGCTTGGCTGCTAACCAAGAGGTTGGAGGTTCGAGTCTGCCCAGAGGGACCTCGGAAGAAAGTCTTGATGATCTACTTCCAAAAACTCAGCCACTGAAAGCCCGACGGAACACAGTTCTGTTCTGACATCCATGAGGATGCCGTGAGTCAGAGTCAACTCCACACACTTGTTTTCTTTTTTTTAAACGAAGGTTAACTACTCAGTGAAGCAGTAAATATTCTCCCTAATTTTTACAGATGGGGAAACTAAGACTCAAAGTGATGAGCCCAGGGTCCCAGCGTATGTAAACGGCAGTGACAGATCGTAACCAGCCATGCCTGAGGATTTTCATCTGCTATCTCCAGGGCCAGCGAGACTGCCAGCAAGGATGCAACGCACAGGGGTGTTGAGGTGGCCTCTGTGGTCTCCCCCAGTCATCCAGGGCCTTAGCCACTTCTCCACGTGTGAAACCCCAGGGAGGAGGAGAGAAGGGCCTCTGGCACTGCTCCTCTTTAGTCTAGCTTTGGTCACTGGCCAAGGGAGGGGAGCCTAGGGGGAAGGAAACTTTCCATAAGTGGAAGTTCAACTCTTTTCTTCCTTTTCTCTTCCTCAATTCTTCTAGATAGACTGTTCCTGATGCCGTGCCAACTTATGAAGGGATACTTTGGGCAGTCATCTGAGAAGAGGCTGTATCTTACTCCAGGAATGAGGTCTCTTGTTTTGGGAACCAGGACTTCATGAGTCAAAATTAGCCTCATGCTTCAGCAAACATCTGCTAAAATGGTCCTGGGGGTAGACACTATCCTGGGCAGGGAGGGTCCTGGTCTGGGGCCTACACTCAAGGAACTTCCAGACTCATAATCTAACTACAGCCCCCAGTGCTGGAAAGGAAGAGAAACCCCAGCCAGGAGCCTCATTTTTTTTCAGAGTAGCTGATGTTTCCCCTGAGAACTTGCTTAATTATGCTCACAGGAAGTTCATAGTGGTGGAGATAACACAGGGACAACATCACAGGAAGTGGGTTTTGTGGTAAGAGACTGTGAAGCACTGAGCTGTGAACCTCAGGGGGCCTGAGTACTACTCAAAGCTGTCTCCCATGCCTGCCTTCCAGTCTCAGGTGGTGAGGCTGGACCTGCGGACTCTAAGCCTGAAAGGCAGGGCTCCTTTGGGACCCTCACTCCCACCCCCTGTTTCCAGGTCATTAGAGGGGAGTGAGACAAGTCACTTATATAATGCCCCTCCTGTTAGTCATCCACCTGCCACAGCCCTGGACCCACTAGACATACCATCTAGAGCTGAGCATGGAGACACAGATGTGCCCACCCTTTCTCAGTGCCATAGTTCAAAACACCTATATGCAGATGGCTGCCATATTTCTTCCTGCCCTTGCTATCTTTACTTGGGTGTCTAACAGAACCTAACATATGCCCAAAGGGGAAGTCCAGAATTTCACCCCAAACCTGCCTTTCACCCAGCCTCCCCCATGTCAGTACCAGCATCCCTCCAGCTGTTCAAACTAGGAGTCATGCAGAAGTCTCCCCTTTTATCACCCTCCACAGTAAGTGCATCAGCAAGTCCTCCCAGGTCTCTTTGTCCATCCCACTGTCACTCCCAAATAGTGTCTTAACTGGTCGCTTAGCTTCTACTCTGTCATGCTCTCCACAATCTATTCTTAACACAGCAGCCAGAGTGAGCAGCAGAATTATCTCCTAAAACTAAAAGTTAGATCATGTCACTCTATTGGTTTAAAATTGAACTTAAAAACAAATCCATGTTCCCATTAGAAAGCAATGATCAAGAAGACAGAAAACAACAGGTGCTGGTGAGGTTGTGGAGAAACTGCAACCTTCATCCATTGCTGATGGGAATGTAAAATGGCACAGCCACTGTGGAAAAGTTTGGTGGTTTCTAAAAGCTGAACATAGAACTACTGTATAACCTAGCAATCCCAATCCTAGATAGATACCCAGAAATGAAAGCAGGAATGTAAACAAAAAACCTATACACCAAGGTTCACTGCAGTACTTTTCACAATAGTCAAGAGGTGAAAACAGTCTAAATGTCAATCAAAAGATGAATGGATACACAAAATGTGGCACATACATATAGTGGATTACTACTCAGCCATAAAGAGAAAGTCCTGATGCATGCCACAACATGGATGAACCTTGGAAACATAATGCTGAGTGAAATAAGTCAGTCACAAAAGGACTGATAGTGCATGATCTCACTTATATGAAATAAACAAATATTCAGAACCAAAGATTATTTATGGTTACCAGAGGTGGGAGGGAAGGGGAAAGGGGGGACTTTGGCTTAGGGGGCACTGAGTTTATATTAACTGTGGTGGAATAATTTGGAAAAGGATGGCGATAAGGAATGCACAACATTAAGAGTGTGATCAATGTCACTAAGTTATACACATAGAAATTGCTGAATAGGTTAATGTTTTGTTGTGTATATATCACTGCAAAAATGAAAGAAAATAAATTCATGGTTATAATTGCATATCATGGTGAACATCATTAAGGTCACTGAATTGTATACATAAAAATGGTTGAAATGGCAAATGTTTGGTTGTATATAATTTACTATAATAATAAAATAACAACAACAAAACAAATCCAAACACTGACCATTACTTACAAAGGTCTCCATGATTCAGCTCCACTCAGCTCTCTAAACTCATTTTGCACCCATGTTCTTTCTACCTTCTTGCTCACGTCCCTCTAGCTCTCTGGCCTGCTTTTGGGCCTTTGCATTTGCTGCTTCCTTTGCTTGGAACTTCAGAGTAGCCTTCCCTGGTCACCCTGATTTAAAAAAAAAAAAAAAGTAGCTGCCATTGAGTGAATTCTGACTCAGGGCAATGCCCTGTTTGTGAGAGGAGAGCTGTGTTCCACAGGATTTTCAGTGGCTGATTTTTTGGAAGTATATTGCCAGGCCTTTCTTCTGAGGCACCTCTGGGTACACTTGCACCTCCAGCTTTTCAGTTACCAGCTGAGTGTGTGAACCGTTTGCACCACCAGGGGCTCCTAACTGAAAGAGCTCGCTAATTACTCACAATCCCCCCACCCTGAACACTTTTCTCTTTTTCCTTAAATAGCCCTTGTTACTCTTTGAAATTACTTATTTTCTGTCTTCCCCACTAAAAAAGTGAATTCTAAGGAGATGGAGACATTGCCCAACCTGTTTGCTGCTGTATCTCCCGAGCCTGGCACTACATCTTGCACCCAGTAAACACTCATTATGCAAATCAGTGAATTCCTGCCTTTATTAACATTTCTCTTGCTTTGGACTGTTTGATTCTTCCTTGGCTTCTGGAAAAAAAAAATCTAGAAAAGTAAAAAAGACCACCTTTTCTTGTGGGTAGGGCTGCCCTTCTAATTTACCTGTTGACGTTTTTGATTGTACTTTCCTGTTTATCCATGTTCTTTCCAGCCTCAACTGTAATTGCAACTGGGAATTTTTTCTTGATTAATCCCTTAGGAAGGATGGAAGGAGAAATACACAAGCACGATACATTTTAGGAATATTCTATAGTGCACCTGCCCGGGTAGAGCATTTGGAGACTGGGCCATAGTTTCTAACCCAAATCAAGACTCATTGTCTGACACTTCCCACTTTCAAGGGTAAAAAGTAGACCGGCAGATGACATTTACAGATGGGAATAGCAGAATTTCTTTATAAGGAGAAATGGAAGAAAATACTGAAAAGGAAACTGTCCCAGAAAATCCAGGATATAAGGTTTAATATATAGATATTTTCCTATATCATGTAACAAGCTCAGAGGTGAGAAGTGAGAAAACAATGTCGCCTGTTGAGACAGACATGTTGTTATTGTTATGTGCCGTTGAGTTGGACCCGACTCATAGCGACCCCTCCTTGGGTTTCCGAGGCAGTATCACTACAGAATAGGAAGCTGTAAATCATCTAAAATCAGAGCCTTTGAGCAATTCCTATCTTGCATTCCTGATTCCTCTTAGGTCTGCAGTCTGTCACTTGGCTCAATTCTGACAAGAGAAGTTGGAGTGGGAAAAATCCTGAGGTAATCCAACATGCTCCTCATCTCTTTCCCTGGGGCCCACACAGTGTATTTGCTGACCTCAGGGCTGCCCTTTCCTTTCCCCTGCTGTTCTCTCTACCTTCTCTTCCTACAGCACCCTCTCCTTGACCAAACCTCATCTCCTCACTCCTCTCTTCATAAGGAACTTGCTTACTAAGAGTCATGTTTGTTTCTGGACTATCTCTGGGCCCTGGGTATGTGCCTGATCTTCCCACATCCAACCAGCAAACCCCCACAAGAAGGATACCTTCTTGTTGGCCTAGGTTCTCTTCTCCTTGGCCTTCCCCAGGGGTAGGGCAGGACTTTGGACATGAGGATGTGCCTCTGTTTGGGGCACAGTAGATGGATGGGATTGAGGGGCCAGTTTTCAGGAGCTCACAGAGTGCATCAGACCAGGACCGAACCCTGGCTGCTGACCCACTCCCTCACGAGTGAGGTGTGTGGCCTGGTTCTGACTCTGAGGTAGGAAAGAAAAAGTTCCCCAGCCTGGCACTAGGCCTCCTCTCCCCTTGTATCAAATGTCCATGTATTCATGGTCACAGAGCTGCTGCTGGGTCCCAGGGTAGGAGGGCAGAGAGCACAGACATTGTATTTCAGCAGAGACACAGCCCTAGTTTGTGCATTTGTAATGGGAGCTGGTTAATCTGATCAAATGGTCAAATATGTGGGAAATTTTATCCCACTGTGGACTGCAGAGATTTCTGGTCATGAGTCTGAAGTTTTTGTTCCCCCTTTATCCACTGAACTGAATATTGCTTAAAGTATCTCTAGAGTCCAAAAGCCCTCGGGATAGGGTTGTTGATCCACCAACTCTCTGCAATTACATGCACACTGTTGTGGGCAATTACACACTATTGCAAGGAAAGGGGCATAGCTCTCAACAGATTCTCAAAGGAGGCCAAACTAAAAAACAGAACTCACTGCCATTGAGTTGATTCAGACTCATAGCAACCCCCATTGGGTTTCTAGGGCCGTAAATCTTTCCAGAAGTAGATTGCCTTATCTTCCTCCTGGTGGGTTCAAACCACTGACCTTCTGATTACCAGCCAAATGCCTTAATCACTATACAACCCAAGCTCCTTCAAAGGAGGTTGTGATAGTTGGGGTTGTGTGTCAATTTGGCTGGACCACGATTCTGAGTGTTTAAGCAGTTGTGATGTGGTTATTCCCATGATGAGATCAGATATATATCTGAGCAGCCAATCTGGAGTTTCCCAAGGGGTGTGGCCTGCTTCCAATATATATATGGACATCCTGGGTAAAAGAGAACCTTCTGTGGATCTGGATCCTGTTGTGCTGCCTACAACTGTCTGTGAGCAAACAATCCACTATTCTTCCTGGTGATCTTGGATTCTTGGTCATCCACTAGAGTCAACAGCTGGTATACTGCCTGCCAACTTTGAGCTCGTCAGCCCCTGCAGCTGCACGAGTCAGGAAAAGCCTTCAGTTTCATGTTTGATCCGGGAACTTGGGACTTGCCAGTTTGTATAACTGTGTGAACCATTTTCCTAAGATAATTTTCTCTCTCTCTCTCTCTTTCTCTCTCTCTCTCTCTAAGCTTTACTGGTTTTGCTTCTCTAAAGAACCCAGCCTAACACAGAGGCCAAGATCCAGAAAGATAAGAATGGCTGGCTTAGATTTTTCAGACAGGTGATTCAGAGATGCTAGAATTGACCTTAAGAGAATTCCAAGGCAACAAAGAGAGATGACTAGAGAGAATGTGACCACATACATGTCTGGTGGCCCCCTATGAGAAGGCACTTAAGAGGGGCTGTTGGGCTGCTGCAAGTTCTGACCCTTAGATGCTGCCCACATCAGACTGGCACCACGTCACTTGTCTAGCCTGGTCAGAGGAGTTGCTCAACTGGGCACCTATACCTTATGAACTCAGAAAATTCTGAGTGACAAGTTAAACAGTTTAGAACTTTCATCACATGTGATTCAGGGAGAAGGAGCTTGCAGGGGTTGGTGGCACAGGGCTGGAGGGAAAAGGCTCATGAGAAAATTCAGTTTAACAGGAAGGATGTCTGATATACATTTCATAAAACTCTTCCATTGCCACTGAGATTCCCCAGAGATATTTGCAAGCCCCTCCTATTTCTGTTGCAAGGAGCTCTGGCGGTGCAGGGGTTAAGTGCTCAGCTGCTAACTGGAAGGTCAGTGGTGTGAACCCACCAGATGCTCTTCGGGAGAAAGATGTGGCAGTCTGCTTCTGTAAGGATTTACAGCCTTGGCTACCCTATGGAGCAGTTCTACTCTGGCCTATATAGTCGCTATGAGTTGGAATTGACTCAACAGCAGTGGGTGGCCTATCTCTGTCAAATGCTGCCCCTCCCTTTCCAGAAGCCTAATCTATATGCTCCATGTCCACCAGACCCTTCATACTACATCCCTGATAGTTGCTTGCTCTTTGTTAGTGCTGCTAAATATCTGCTCTCCCTGGGAAAAATGTGAGTTTCCTAAAGAAATAGACTTCACAGTCCTCACACTCAGCCCTCCTTCCATGGCCTTCCCCAGTCCTAGTCCTCTTTTTAGCATCACTCCTAATCTGGAGGGCAAGAGGGAAGTTGGAGGAAGGTAAGGAGAAAGCAGCAGCAGCAGCTGCAGCTTTGTACTGGTGTAGAGGGAAGCCCGGAGTCAGTTTCTGCCCTTGATGGGGGAGCTTGGCCAACCTGCGAGAGCCCCAGCTAGCATGCACCATCTGGGAAGAGGGCCCAGCTCCCGGAGAATCTCAGTCTCATGATGCATCAGTCCCACAGCCACTCTGCTAGATCTGGGCCCATCACTCTACTCTCAAGTGATTTTAAGAACTTGCTTTGGGAAATCTGGTTCTCCACCTTTCTTTCTGCCAATTACTATACCCTCCTCTGTCCCTCAGTGCTATCAACGTTCTGAAACACATCATTCTCCAGCTTAAACACTGCCAGTGACTCCTCATTTCTTCCTAAATACTTTAAGCATGGCATGAGTGCCAATTCAATAGCTTTTTAGTCTCATTTTCTACAACAAACCTAAGCTTCAGCCACACCAGGTCTCCCAAAGTTCCACATACACGTTCATGTCTCTCAGACCCTGCTCACGTGGTTCTTGCTTCCAAGAACGCCCTTAATTTCATCTTCTCTCTCTAGACAATCACACTCACCCTTTAAGACCCAGCTCCAATCTGGCCTCCATTGTAAAGTCCCCAGCCATGCCAGGCAGAAATAGTACCCCCTGGCTGTGCCCTCCCATAGCGCATTGTTCCAATGCAATGAATAAAATGAAACTAATGCTTATGGAGCTCTTATTCAATGCCAAGTACTCTATGGCACATGAATTATCTCATTCATCATGTGTCTTGCATCCCTCACCCATTGTATGAGGGAATTAATTGTCCTTATTTTCACAAGGGGAAACTGATGTTCAGTGAAGCTAAGCATCTCAGACCTAGGAAGAGTCAGAGCTGGGATTAGAATCCCTGGGTGTCAGAGTCCCAAGTTGATGGCCTTTTCCGTTTGTTAGTGGTTGGCATTTTAAGTGGCTGCTTGTCCTGTGAGGATTGGTAGCCTTTTCAAGGGAGGACCTGCCTCATTTGTCAAGGTGTTCCCCAGTCCTAGGTAAGTCCTGGAGTCCTGAACTGCAAAGCTGTTGGGGACCTTTGGGCAAAGTGTAAATGAAGTTCAGACTTTAAGAATGTGGCCTACCTGCCCTCTGTTCCCTACTACCTTCTTTCTGTCCCTAGCCTTTATTATGAATTGTGATGCCAGGCAACAGGCCATGAAGTGGTAGCTGCTCCCTCAAGAAGCCGTGTCTTCCTGCTCAGAGTGTCCATGGGAGACCCTGTCCCCCACTTCAGGGTGCCTCTAGCCTTACCTTCAGTGCTGGCATCATCTACCAGTATGATCTCCTTCAGGAAGATGGCAGGGGCGGTGTGTAGGACACTGTACACTGTTCGCAGCAGCGTGGACCAGGCCTCGTTGTGGAACACAATGATGACGCTGGTGGTGAGTAGTCGAGGACAGCGACGGAACTTCTGGTCCACACACCTAGAGGGATGACAGTGTGGACACAGTTCTCCAGGTCCCTAGGAGTTCCTTAGGAGGTGGGGAAGGCTCTGTCCAAAGGCTCCCCATAACAATCCTCTGCTCCTTTGAACCACCAGCCACATTCCCTGTTCTAGTCCTTTACACCCATACCCTGCCCCAGGCTGAGTCTGTGGGTGGTGCAATGGTTAATGCACTCAACTGCTCAAATCCACCAGAGGCATCTTGAAAGAAAGGCCTAAAGATCCATCATATTTTCGCACATAGCACACCTGCATAAATATTGTGCACACAATATAATGCAGATAGTACGTATAGGAAACTAATGAGTGAGGGAGTTGTGCAGTTTACAAAAAAACTGTATAACATGCTGTTATTTGTACAAAATACAGTATTTCCAGAAAATCAATCATTGAAAACCCTATGGAGTACAGTTCTACTTTGACACATGTGGGGTTGTCATGAGTTGGAATTGACTTGACAGCAACTCGCTGGCTTAACTGGTCCCTAGCTCACTCTATATTTGCCACCCACTCTGAGCCTCTGTACCAGTCCTACTCAAACCACTACAAAAACCCATCTCCCCCAGAGCTGGCGAGGTCCCACAGCTGTGATGCTGAGAGCTCACTTCTGTTTGTTCTCTTCTATCAGGCTGAGAGTTTCCAGCACTGACTCTCTCTTATTCAGTAATATGTGTGCTGCATAAAACATAATCCAATCTGGAGGTCCCAGAGGGGTAAGTGATAATGGCAAAATTGACATCTGAGAAAAAGTGACTACAATTTCCATACTCAATGAGAGGAGAGGAGTCTTCTCTTTATAATGCATGTTGTTTTTGTTGTTATGTGCCGTTGAGTCGGCCCCGACTCATAGCGACCCCTCCTTGGGTTTCCGAGGCAGTATCACTATGGAAGTAGGATTGCCCAACCTTCCTTCCGAGGAGTGGCTGGTGGGTTTGAACTGCCAGCCTTCTGGTTAGCAGACAAGTACTTTAGCCACTATGCTACCAGAGCTCCTGACTCTCTCTTATTCAGTAATATGTGTGCTGCATAAAACGTAATCCAATCTGGAGGTCCCAGAGGGGTAAGTGATAATGGCAAAATTGACATCTGAGAAAAAGTGACTACAATATCCATACTCAATGAGAGGAGAGGAGTCTTCTCTTTATAATGCATAGTTCCTCTCTAATCCATTTCCTTATTAAGTCCCTGTAATCTGACACTGTTATCACAGTCAATTTCCTGTGACCTTTCTTACCCACTCCATCCATTCAGTAGCACTTGGCCATACTACCTCCTTCTTGACGTTATATTTGGGGGATGGGAGTATGTGAATCCTGGATCTCAAGGAAACATCTGGCTGAACATCCTTCCTTGAGTCCCTCTGCTGGTCAGAGAGCTTTCTCTTGGACCCTCCAGAGAAGACTCCACTTCCTCCACTGACTGCCCTCACACCCAATGCCCTTCTCTGCTGAGGAATTCCTGTCACCTACCTCCAATGTTCTTTCTTCTAGGGCTATAATACTTGGTCCAAATCTGAAGTCCCCCAAGTTCATAGCCCAAAAGAATCATGAATTTGGGGATTGGGGCCACCATGTGAGAAAAGGCCAAAAGACCTTTTTTTTAGATTGTGATTTGGGTAAAAGTTTACTGAGCAAATTGGTTTTCCATTCAACAATCCATGCACATTCTGTTTTGGGACATTCATTGCAATCCCCACACTAACAGCATCCTTCCCGTTTCCTCCCTATGCCCACTGCTTCCCTTAGTCCTTCCTTCCCATTCCCTCCCACCTTCCTAGCTCTATCCTTGGGCAAATACTGTCCTCTTGATCTCATATGGTTGATTGTTCTAATGAGTCATACAAAAGAGGTATAATTCTTGAGTCAGGAAGACAAAGGCTAAATGAGGAACACACAAAGTTTTTAACTCAAGGACAGTGAGACCACAGCCATGGCTGCATTAGAGTGATGTGGCTGAAGCTCAAAGATCTATGTAAGCACTGGTTTTACTGCTCAATATAGAGAAGATAAACAAAATCAAATAAAGTCTGGAATGAATTCATGGCCCTATGGGCCTTCACTAAAGAAAGTCAAGAGGTATGGACATGCCCCTGACCACCAAGGCTCCTTCTAGGAATTGCCCTCCCCCAGCAGCCCAGCACCAGAATCCCAGTCTCTGGGAAAGACCTCAGCAAGGGCAAGGCCTCCGAAACCACAACCTGGAATCAGTCCTTCCCACTTGCCTCTGTGCTAGTACTGGTCCCAGACTCTGACTTCCTTCCTCTGTATTATTCACCTTCATAACTGTGCATCACTACTGCTGGTCTCTCTGAGCCTTGAGCCTCACTATGATACTCCTAAACTCCAACTCCAGGGATCAGGGCAATTGGTCAAGGGAACAAGTGAGGGCTTACAGGAAATCTTCATCCATATTCTAAAATCCCCTTCAGTTCTTTACTTGGCATTTGGCTGGTGACTATGGTCACACCAAAGGAGTCCATGAGTGGAGCAAACGGTTAAGCACTGGCTAATAACGAAAAAGTTGTTGGTTCAAATCTACGCAGTGGCAATTTTGAAGAAAGAGACCTGGCAATCTACTTCTGAAAGATCATAGCCATTGAAAACCCTATAGAACATAGTTCTACTCAGACACAAATGGGGTTCCCATGAATTGGATGGCTCAATGGCAACTTTTTTTGGGGGGGTGCTGTTTATAGTCACAGCAGTCACTGCTTTGGCCAAGCCTTGGCCTCATCCCAGGATTTGCTACTTACTCGGGTGGTCGGGTATCTGGCCCCAGCGCCCTCTGCAGGGAAATCCGGTCACTGGCAAAGGCATTGAAGCAGTGCTTCTTATAGCCCTCCTCTTTTTCCTGGGTCTCTTGAGGGGTCCAGGTACTCTTCTGAAATGCTTTTCCATCTGCCCCAGGACTGCTGGGGTCCTGCAGTGGCCGTTCCCAGAAGGGCTTCAGCTCAGCAGGGGCATAGAACCCAGGAAGGCAGGATTGGTTTGTGGACATCATGGTCTCCTGGGGCTCTGGAGCTTTGATCTGAAGTTTGGGCATCGAATCCCTGATGTTGTTCATGGCCCCCAGCATGAGGTCCAGGACATGATCTTTCTGGCTCACCAGGGACCTCAGCCATGGCTTCTCTGTGGCTTGCTCCCTGTTGCTCACGTCCCTTTGCAGGATGAAGAGGAAGAGCACAAAGGCGCTGCCCACCATGACCAGGCGCAGGGGCATGTGGTGTCTGCGGAAGAGCCTCATCTTCTGGAATCAACGAGGGTCCAGCTGGGTCAGCTCCAAGTGCTCGGCCCACACTGGATATAGCTCTGTATATTGTGGTAGTCACACTTTGGGACCTTAGCCTGACAAAGAAGAAGGAAAGAGAGAAAAATGAGCCAGAGGAGTGGGTTAGAGGAAGTTAGGGGTTACACATTTGAGTTTAGACTCTTTGTTGAATGGTGGCATTCCCTTTGCCCAGCTACTTGACTTTCCTCTGCCAAAACTCCCTCCATCCATAAAATGACTGGACTCAGTGTCTCTTTCCTGCACTAAGATTCTGAGATTCATGGATCTAGAGTAACCAGAATACTGAAATACTACATGAAGAGATTTAAATCAACACGGCCATTTTGGGAAACAATTTGGCGTTATCAAGTAAACTTTAAGACCCGACAGTTCTCGCAGTTTTATATCCCAGGTGAACTCTTCTTACATATGCAAATCAGGAGGTATGTATAAGAATATACATACAGCACTGACTAAAATTTCAAAAACTGGAAATAACCCAAATGTCCATGAGCAGTACAAAAAAAAAAAAAAAAAACCACAAACCAAACCTACTGCCATTGAGTTGATTCCTACTACAAGAATAATTTATTTTAGAAGGATCAGCCCAGACTGGTTCCAATGAGGTAAATATTAAAGATGTCTTAAATATTCAACTTTTTCAAACTGCTGTACCACTCCCTCATCTCTAACATCAATTACTACTCCTCTCCTCAATACTCTTTCCCTTCTGTCTTTGGGTTCCGTGATTCACTGCAATGTCTCCCAGAACCCACGAACCATCAAGAAAATGGCTCATGTAATTATAGAGGCTTGGAAGTTCCAAATCTGTGGGTTAAGGATCAGGATGGAGGCTTCTGACCCATGTAGTTGCCAGGGTTGATGATCCCAAATCAGCAGGTCAGATGACAGGCTGCTGGCTCAAAAGGCTGTAGAAGCTGGTGAGTCAGGCCAGATGATAGGCTGCTAGCTCAGGTTCCAAGAATCTGGCATCAGATGATGACAAGATGCAGGAGCAAGAGAGAGAACTTTGCTGAAGCATTCATATACATTGGATGCAGGCCATACCACAAGTAAACTCCTCTCACTTGAGTGTGAAGGGTAGTGACTGGGGTAAGGGTGGTGACTTGAGTCACACCCTCTAGTAAGGCAGTGACTCAAGACACATTCCACCTTAATCCTGCCTCATTAACATAACGGACAAGTCATTCCCAAATGTGACCATAACCACAGGCATAGAGGCAAATCACAAAATGGAGGACAACTACATCAGACCACAAAATGGAGGATGATTGCACCATTACAGAGCTGCTAAACCACTGAAAATCATGGTAAGACAGGTTGACACATAATCATCACAGGTTCCATACACCTTATTTGCATTCAAGCTGTCTAATCCTCTTGTTGGGCCATAAGCACCTTATGTGCATAGTCCCACACAATCATTATGTGGGAGTCACAAAGACTATGGCTAGAAGGGTCATATTAAATAATTCACTGCACTTCACTGACTCATAGCAACCCTATAGGATGTATGTAGTAGAACTGCTCGATACAGTTTCTTAGGCTGTAATCTTTACAGAAGCAGACTGCCACATCTTTCTCCTATGGAGTGGCTGGTGGCTTAGAAGTGCCAACCTTTCAGTTAGCAGCCAGGTGCCTACCCACAGCACCACTAGGGCTCCTTCATCAGCAGTAGAATGAATAAAATGTGAAATATACCCACTCCTGACTAATTGACATAGTATGTTCAAAAGCCCAGGTCCTTATATGAAAATCGGTGTTATGCAAAAATGGAGGATGACCACATCAGATCACAAAATGGATGATGACTACATCATTACATAACTGCCAAATTACGTTATTATATGACTGCCAAACCACTGAGAATTGCGGCCCAGCCAAGGTGACACATGACCTTAACCACCACAGCCAGTGTTACTCTTATCTTGCACCTTGGCATCTGTTATTACCAGATGTGTGTTGTTAATGTGTAAAATAGTCAGATTTTTTTTTTACTATTGTCATAAATGTGAAATGTTAGATAATGAGATAGCCAATAAGTGAGGAGTACGTGTAGTCATACCACAGAGCAATAACAAAGAATGAACCATTTCTACATGTAACAATACAGATGTATATTTGAGTGAAAAAAGCAAGCTGCAGAAAGAACACAGTATGCTTCCTTTTACAGAAAATTCACACACATGTTAAACCAAGCAATATATTGTTTAGGAATACAAATATATGGTAAAATGATAAAGAAAACTAAAGGAATGATAAAGTCGAAGTTTCTGAAGAGGGAGGAAAAGCAATAAAAAGGGCCCAAAGGGGACTTCAAAGTAAGATGTCTTTTCTTAAAGTGGTGATGGTGCCTACTGGTGGTATTATTATTCTTTATACCCTGTTGTTATGGTTGGTGCTGTCAAGTCAATTCTGACTCCCAGCAACTTCATATGTCCAACACATATTTTATAAATATTCTTCTGTACCTGTTCCTATTAAATTTTTTTACTGTGGCAAAATATACATGAAATAAAATTTGCTGTATCTACTCACATTTAATAAAAAAGGAATTAAAAAAAAACCTCTAAGGTCTTATGGCAACATCTTCCCAGGCAGAACTGGGTATAAGTGTCTCCCCAGGTTCATAGTCCCTCAGCTCAGAGGATGAATGTTTGCAAACATTCTCTGTGGAAAGCTCTGAATGTATGAAGCTCACTGGTTGAACACTAGATATTGGTGTTAATAGACTTGGGCACAGATCCCAGTTCTGCCCCTTCTAGTAATAGCACCTACCTCCAAGGGTTGTTTTAAGGATTAAGTTCAATAAAATCATTCATGAAAAAGTTTAGCAGTGTCCGTACATGGTAAATCCTCAAAAAAGTGTTAGTTTTTATCTTTAGCAGCTGTGTGACCCTTGGACAAATTACTTAATCTCTCTAAGCCTCAATTTCCTCAACTACAAAATGGGGGTAACTAATACCTAACCACTAATACACTCTGGTAGTGTAGTGCCTAAGACACTTGACTGCTAACCAGAAGGCTGGCAGTTCAAACTCACCAGCCACTCCTTGGAAGGAAGGTTGGGCAATCTACTTCCGTAGTGATACTGCCTCGGAAACCCAAGGAGGGGTCGTTATGAGTCGGGGCCAACTCGACAGCACATAACAACAACAATACCTAATTCAAGGAGCTCTGGTAGTGCAGTGCCTAAAGCATTTGACTGCTAACCAGAAGGTTAAACCCACCAGCAGTTCAAACCCACCAGCCACTTGGCAGAAGGAAGACTGGGCAATCTATTTCCACAAAGATTTACCACCTCGGAAACCCAAACGGGGTCGCTATGAGTCAGAATCATCTCAATGGCAGTGAGTTTGGTTTTTTATGAATACCTAATTCACAGGGTTGTGGTGAGGATTAAATCAGACGCTGCATATAAAGTACCATATTTTACACAAAGAACACTTGTACTACACAGTTTTTGCAAACCATGCAACCCCTATGCATAGTTCCCTATGCAAACTATGATTATGTGTGTGGGCATTATTTACATGGGTGCATTATATATCAAAAATACTGTAGTTGACAAAGTGTCTGGCATATACTAAGCCTTCAATAAATGGTATCATTATTTCTATTATAATTAATAAGTCCCTGCTCAGTTTCCCAGCAATTATCCTAAAGTACCTGGTCCTTAGCCAAAGCCACACTCATCATTCCTCAGCATGTCTTGCTCAAAAGCAACTGGTTGAGTTGTTTTATGCTGCTATTTAAACACCAGCCCCTGCTGTGGAGAAGCCTGGTGTTTGGAGTCACCTGGATCTAGGGAATATGTGGCCACCATGATCTGAAAGGAGAATAGAGTTCATTCTGGGCTGGGGGAGACAGTGGTTTGTTTCATCATGGAGTCAGCAGCATCATCAAAAATCAAACCACTGAAATGTCTTTAAGTATCTACTTGTATTAGGCATTGTCTAGGAGACAGGAGAAGAGATCTGTTCATTCTGTCTCTACTTGTCAAATACCTGTGATATGCCAGGTATTCTGCAAGATGTAGGGATAGAGAAATGAGCAAACCTGGCCCTCAAGCAGCATTCAGTCAACTGGGGGAGCTAGAGTTTAAGTGGAAAGGTCACCCAATGTGAAGACAGTATGGCAGAGGCTATTGTCATATCAGTACTCAGGTGCTGGGTAACAGGGTAATAGGGGACTCAGGAAACTCAGCAAACAGAAGGAGGGTGAAATGCTGCAGGAAGAGAAGCTTGGGTTGAGTCCTAACCTGTGAGTAGGAGCTATAGGCAAGGAGAGCACATTTCAGAGGGAAGAGCACATGTAAAGTCCCAGAGGTAGAAGACAGTATGGCCAACCAGAGAACTGCAAGTAGTCTGGTATGGAGCGAGTGTGAAGGGTGATGGCTGTAGCAGAAAATGGGCCCAGAGAAACAGCTAAAGCCAAGTCATGAGGGCCTTGTTCATCATGCCAAAGAGTCTGCACTTGACTTGAGGTGATGGGGAGCAATAATGGACTAGCTGGGAAGCAAGCATTACAGAAAGAACAATGTGACAGTTGTATGGAAGGTATCTGGGACATGGACCTGATTGGCAGCTGGATGACCAGTTAAGAGATTGGTGGGGTCTGATCCAAGATAGCAGCAGTGCTGATAGAGGAAGGAAGAGGTGGTACTAGGAAAACTCCCTTGAGTGATGGGGTGGAAAATGAACCCAATCAGGAACAAAGAGAGAGCTACAGAGGTATGATTCCTTTCCTAGGGGATTTTAAAACCAGAACAAGAACTGACAGCACTGGACCCAGGTGGGGCCTGTCCAAGGAAGGGTCAGGAGCAGGAAAAAGAGCTTTCACGGAGTATCTTTTTGCATTTTGGATCCTGACGGTCTTACCTATTCAAAAATTAATACAATTAAAACTTAATAATAGCATAGACAGCAAGTGCCAAGTTGAGAAAGGTAGAGTTC